TTTCCACTTACAAATTAATAATACGAGAGTGATTGGTTTGGATCAATAAGGCTTGTTTAAACCGTGTGATATATTTGAGCAGTGGCCTCAAGCCCCTCATGCCGTGCCCACGCTCCTATTGTTTTAACCATATTTTGTCAGTTTTCAAAATAAACGAGAACACATCCACCACCACTTTTAATAAAAACCAAGTACTAGTCGATTCGTTCTTTCTTCACACGAGGAAATTTGGTCGCTGTCGTTATCATTTTACATTCTTATTATTATTATCTTCAATTTTACTTTCAAGTCTTTTGTATTTGTACTAAAATATGTTCATTATCGGTCAGTGTCACAATTGCTAAGTTCCAATCCTCTTTGGTGTGCTGTCTACTTTTCCAGCTTCTGTGCACTCAAAAGTACTGTGATTTTCAAGCAAATTGTTAGCAAACGAATCATACTGTTAAATTAAGATTAATTTAGTAATTTGCATTTTGTAACTAACTAAAAGTTTGAAACATACTAAACGTAAACCTACAAGTATATATCGCCGTATATTTTCTGTTGTGTTACGAACCCTATATTTGACTTACACATCATAACTTGTATCAAACCACCTACATGAATATCTTTCCTATATATCTCATAAGCGCCTAATCGAATTAGGCATGAAACTGATACATCTATTCATCAAGGAACTTTTAGTTAGTTAATAACTCTAATTAGAATTCTTGAAGGAAACGTTGTAAAACCTTCTTGATGAATTGTTTGTATATATTAGGTCACTTTCTTCTTCAATCCTCTATCGATCGCATGGCCCCTTTGAAATAAATTTGGGCACAAGGTCGCCTTCATGTGCACATGTGTTACCTAGAGAGTATATAGAAAATTTAGGTAGCGATGGAAGCCTTTTCTTTTACATCACATGCTTTTTTAAAGATTCTTCGATATAACCAAAAAACCCATAAGAGGGAAGCGGACCAAACAAGCCAAACCCCCACGTTTCTTTTTGAAGCACACACCTTGTTCAGTAAAGTTGCTACAACCAACCCTCCTTTCTGTATCATCTTTCTCATTTTCTTCTGTTGCAAAAAACCCTAGGTTTGATCACTAGCTCAGGAAATTAACAAACTTAGCTGATTAAAAGATAAGTTACTTGTTGTGTTTGGTCAGTAGAGAAGTTGTATTCATATTCGGCACCTTAGTTGTTTTTAAAGTACTTGTATTTGTTTTTGTTTATCTTATCAATAAAATACTACCGCCGATCTTTAAAAGATAATACTTAAAAATTAAAATGATTATGAATATGTGCTGAAAAGCTCTGTAGCTAGCTAGCAGCAGCCACGTCCTAATTGCCATCTTTCATATGGTTCTTGCTCTTTTTGCATGTAACTGTTCAGAAATGACTTTTTGGTCCTCTTGACCAAAAGTTCCAATAACATTGTACAAAATGCGGCATTCCTTTAAGACGTATTTGTTTGATCTCTCTAAACCGTTTCAAACTTTCTATCAAACAGTTTTACCTAGAGTTTTTCTTTCTGGGGAAAATGCAAGTTGTCCAACAATATTTTCCTTTTCAAACTTTCGTCTCATCCATACTGTAGAAATTCCTATGTTTGGCTACTCTTCTAAATAGACATTAGCCGGAGACTGTTCATATTAACTGACCTCTCTTATAGTAATAAGATTTGCTTACGATAATGTGATGAATAAATGTGATATATATAGATTTTAATTATTAAAGCTTATAACAATATATATACGACACGACTATAACTTCTCTCTCTCTCTCTCTCTCAAAACGCTTGTCTTATTATCAAATTAATTGATGTTAAGAATCATCACTACCTCTATGAAACTCTTTCTCTCTCTCCAAACACTTGTCTTATTGTCAAATTAATTGATATTAAGAATCATCACTACCTCTATGAAATTAATTATCCAAGCGACACTTGCATGGAACCCTGCATGTGCGTCTAGTTACACCGAATGACCACAGCGATCCTTCTTCCATTCATAATTATTACACCCACCTTCAATAATATTCTTCTTTGTCGACAGATTGCTTTTCAATCACCTTTTTCTTTCATGTCCACACATATAAATGTTCTAGGATGGGATTCATTACCTTCAATATTCAACAAATCTCATGGGGTGGTTGTTACTTGTTAGGGGGAAAGGATGGAATATCCAACGCTCTTTGTCATAGTTTTTGCGAGCTTTGTTGGAAAAACACTCTTTCTTTGGTCCCAAGCTCGCAGGCTTTGTTGGGCAGAACTCAAACAACAAACACTATTCTCACTTGCCCCGCCATGAGTGACAGATTGGATGTTGTAGGTATTTTCCATCAAATCATCAACTATGTTCTAACCTCCAATTAGACCCTTCAAAATTGAACGAATCAAAAGAAGATATCATGTCTAAAAGCTTAAGCAAATATATGCAATTATTCTACATTACTTGTAGCACCGTAGTTGACATTCGAATTAATCCCACTTTCCCTGCCCCCGCATTTATATATATGGCCGATAGGATCGTCATATATGGCTGACAAATTAAAGACCATAGTTCTTGAAAAACTAATGACATAATTACAAGTTCAAGGGATTCGACCTTAATTCCATGCCAAACATGTAAAGTTGGCTCTCTTACACCCGAATTCGAGTCCCCCTCACCATAAATTATAGTAGTTTAGAAAGAAAAAAAAATCCATATGCCAAACATTGGTCAATAGAAAATTAAGCGAGATTGGCGATCTTAGGATAAAAATCCTTGGAGGGCCCACGAGTTCGACATTTCTTACTTTAAGTGTAGCACTAATTCCGCTTTGTTCTATTAGTCAACAAACTCTCATGTCTATTAAACCACTAACTGTGATGGCATTAGCTCTGGAAATCCTAGTGGACAAAATCTCTCATCTGCTAGATTGTCCACATTACTTGGTCTTTTAAGTGCCATATATACTATAGGGGTGGATCTCTTGGGTCAAAAGATCATGAAGATTAGAGTGCCATAGACTTTTGACCACAACCTCTTTCGAGCAAAATAGAGTAATAAAAACCAACGTAACTATTTGTAAATCATATTGCTAATCACACCTCTTACTGACTGATGATACTTGTATGGTTCGGTTCTGTATATAAAAGATGAGATTGCTTGTAAGATGTAACAAGCAGAGTCAATTTATTATAAATCATTCACATGAAAATCTAGGTCATGTTGTTAATAGGGCTTTTTCTTGATTACATTTTCTTTCAACTATGCATGTATTCTTAACTTTCATGGAATGTCATGCCTTGTTATTAGTCGCACGGCCCCAAAATTGGTGATTCTTTCCCTTCAAATCGTGTGTAAATAAACGAAACGAACTGACTTGATCGCGATATACATTTCTAGTCTTTTCAAGTGCCCAATATAACAAAAAACGTAGACAAGCTTTGCTTTAAGGACATGCGATGGGCAAGCACACATCTCCTGTGAGTCTGTGACTTACAAGATTAAAAGCATTTCCATTAAAACATTTTTTCTACTTGAGAAGCAATATGTTAACAAAAGTAAACTCATCACCTCTACCGAGCACATCATGCATATATAACGCGTCAAGGGGATTTGAATTTGATGATCGATTGATGAAATCGAAAAATGCATGAGATAGAATAGAGAGATGCTTAAATGGTATGCCCTAAACATGAAATGCAATATTTAGAAAGAGGGGTTATGGATGGGCATGGTTTTCATAGTTCAATTTGATATAAAGTCAGAAAATTATGATGTGATGAAGGATGGGTTGTGCACTCACTTCACTTCACTTCACATAAATCTAAAGTTTTCATCATCCATCCCCCTTGTTAAGATGAATTAATAGAGCAATGTATATTGCTCCAAAATACATGTGAGCTTAATTTGGTGCATGAAAAAGGCAAAGAAAAGCACATTTTGCACAAGGGAAGACATATGACTAAAGGGATCATGGAAGTTTGGTATTTGTGCAGTAGCTTATTAGCATATATGGAAAAACATTATCTACATGCGGAACCCTTTTGTGCATGGAGAGGTGATCAGAAATAACAACTCACTAACATGTAATCAACACAACGTGGCATCGCCGACAAGCAGTGATGGGTCATTGGTCTAATCTGACTTCAACTTTGGTTGGTATGGGCAGCCCATGGGCTGAGCTGCTTGATTTGTTACAAGCCTCGATTTTGGTCTGCAACCCAACCCAAAGCCTTTTCTGGTCCAACTACCATCAAAGACTGGATGTACACTTGCGGATCCACAGCACGGCCAGTGAATGCAATTTTTCTCACTGGCCATGGTTGCTACACATGAAATTGCCAAATGTTTTCTTTTTAAATGTTCGATAAAATGCGGCGAAGAGGTTGGTGCATTGTAGCGTAAGGTAGGAAGCCAAGGGTAACTCCTCTTGCTACGGAAAAGAAAAATTTATGGATACACCACTGCAATGTACACTCTCTTTACCGTAATTAGCACAGAATTACTTATTGTGAGAGGAGTGTGGATCATAACGAGTCAGATTTGGGCTTGTTTCTTGGTGTTAGTTAAAGGGTCAGACTGGTGGGCTTTTGATGTTTCGTTGCCCTTTCCTATTGTTTGTGTTGTTGGGCCTTTGCGTGGTCTTCGTCTTCGTTCAGTTTGGTTTACTCAACCAAAAGCAAAAAAAGAAAAGAAACCCATTCAAGAACGAATTGAAAATCAGAAATGGTTGCTTACGCGTCAGCTGTTGAGTGATGTAGATCTTGCACTTTGCAGAGCAAAGCTTGAAAACACCGAGTATGGCAAAACTTATCTGATGCTGTCATGCTGATGCGGCATACGATTAAATTAAACTCTCAGACCCAAATCGACAAACTGTACAGCTGGACTTATCTTCATCGTCATCGTCGTCATCTGATACAGAGCTCAGAGCTCACTCCCAAACAATAATACTCTACTCTAAATTGAATTTAATCGACTAATCCAATCATTTTTGAGCTCTCGTACGGAAACCAAAAACGAAGATGATCGCTAGGCGGGCCTGGCACAAGCGGGCTTTGGTGTCCGGTCGCCGGTGGCTGTATCCGTACACCTCTTCAGCTCCGTCGCAGGCGACAGTGCTCTCGGGCCGCAGCCCTCCGTTTCGAGCGTTCTCTTCCGAGCTTGTTGCATTCTCCACCGTCGCTTCCACTCCATTTCGCTTTGCTGATCCGATATCCAATGTAAATCTCTCTCAGTAGCTTTAATTCTTTGGTTTTGAGTAAAATGATTGGTCGATAATCAAAATTGTGAAAATTGTTGAAATTTACATACAAAAATGGATTTTTTTCGAATATTTTCTAGTAAATTTGTTAAATTTATTTATTTTTGCAATTTTTGTAGTGTAGCATTGCGTATAATGTGAAGAGGAGCTGGTTTTCAAGTCAAGCAATGGCTGATGTTACAGCAGCTGGTAATGGCATAGTTGATGTACCATTGGCTCAAACTGGTGAAGGCATTGCTGAGTGTGAGCTCCTCAAATGGTTTGTGCAAGAGGTCTGCGTTGAAAAAAACTGACCCTCTTCATTTGCCATACAATTGGAGAGGCATTTGATGTGAACTACGTTGTTTTGAGGAGAAGTATTTAGCCATAAAGGGTTATTTTGTGATTTTGGCAGGGGGATCAAGTTGAAGAATTTCAGCCACTTTGTGAAGTTCAAAGTGACAAAGCAACCATTGAAATAACAAGCCGGTATCAAGGGAAGGTTAATCAGCTTCTCTACATTCCCGGTGACATCGTTAAGGTGAGAATTTGTATATAAATTACATCCTAAGTTTTTAGGAATAGTGGAGAGAGGTTCATATGTGTGAGAGAGTGTTAGAGTAGAAAATAATTGCTGGATCACATCCTAACATCTTACATGTTTAGGAAAGGTCGTAAACTTATCAATTTAAACTAGGTTACGGGGGTGGGATACTGGGATGTGCGGGCAGTGGTTAATAGCTCTGCCACTGGTTATGGCCTTTCTTTGTTTCTCCTATGCCATATATTTGAACTTGTTCCAGGACTTGTTCTTTTAGAATCTTGATGACAACATTTCTCTATTTTGGATTAGCTCATTTAGCTTTTAATCCTAATTTGACACTCTTATTTATGCTTTAGAGTTTAAATGAAATCTTAGGTTGGAGAAATTCTTTTAAAGATGGCCGTCGAGGAATCTCAGGTTCCAAAGCAGATTTCTGAGAGTTTGGAAAACACCAAGTCACTAGATTCTGAGCTGAACACTCAGAACATAGGTGGAGTTTTATCTACACCTCCTGTTCGGAATCTTGCGAAGCAATATGATATAGATATAAATGAAGTCGATGGAACTGGTAAAGATGGGAGAGTATTGAAAGGAGATGTCCTTAAATATGCTGCCCAGAAAGGAATCATTCAAGACCCATCTGCCTCTTTGAGTGCTAGTTCTGATAAAGTTTTGGGAGACGAAAAGAGTTACTCACATCCATCAGCTGAATCCGGATGTAATTATGATGATAAGACAGTTACCCTGAGGTAAAGTATAGTATACAATTACGAACTTGGAACACCTCCTCCTTTCATTCATTTGTCTGATTCATGGCTGAAACGTATGTGGCATAATATTGAATTCTAAATCTTAATGTTTCTGCAATATTGATGGAGAATGTGATTGTTAGTGGTCTAATTCAAAAGGAAGTGAAGTATGCATCAAGTTACTTATACTCTGTGCTTTCAGGGGATTCCAACGAAGAATGGTTAAATCGATGAGTATGGCTGCAAAAGTTCCACATTTTCATTATGTTGAGGAGATAAAATGTGATGCACTTGTAGAGCTGAAACAGTCTTTCCAAAGTAATAACTCTGATTCAAATGTCAAGCACACGTTCCTTCCATTGTTGATAAAGACACTTTCAATGGCCATGGGCAAATATCCGTTAATGAATAGTTGCTTCAATGAAGAGTCACTTGAGGTCATCCTCAAAGGTTTGTACATCAACTTCTACTTACTTCATCCATAGCAATTATCATCTGTTGGCTGCGGCAATGTTTTAACTTGAGCTTAGTCTTTATCTTCTTGAAGTGGGTTTTAGACTTAACTAATGGAAATTGTTATAGGTTCCCACAATATCGGCATTGCCATGGCTACTCCATATGGTCTAGTTGTGCCAATCATAAAGAATGTCCAGTCTCTTTCCATTTTGGAGGTTAGTCTGTGTGACCCTCTACTGTAACTTACACCGTGTATCAGAAAACGTGCACTGCTTGGTTTATTTGTTGGAGATCCAGGATTTGGAGAACAATTTTGTGGTTGTAGCTTGAATTTCAGGATTTTATGATAATTGATGCTTGCAGTTTATCTCTATATATGCAAAACTAATGATACTCTATGCTTGGTCATATAGAATGACATATACTTATATTTACATAGGAATCAATTTTCATTTGCATACTTTGCGAGCACGCTTTATTAATTATATATATGCCATGTATGTAGATAACAAAGGAACTTTCACGGTTACAACAAGTGGCATTGGAAAACAAGCTTAGGCCTGAAGATATATCTGGAGGAACAATAACTTTAAGTAATATTGGAGCAATTGGTGGGAAATACGGTTCGCCTTTGCTCAACTTGCCTGAGGTTGCCATAATTGCACTTGGGCGGATTCAGAAGGTTCCACAATTTGCAGATGACGGAAATGTATATCCTGTGTCAATTATGACGGTGAGTGTTAAGTTTTTCCTTTTTATTATTTGAAAAGTTAAATCTACAAATTACCTTGTTCTGAGCACTGCATGCCAGTGCCCCTTACTTGGCTGCCAGTTTGCTGAAGAAGCAAGAATCACCCTTGAGAAAAGAGAGGCCTAGCCCCTCACCCTTGTAAACCCCATATGCACGTGCGCATCGGATGGATCAAATGAATCATTTGGCTGAATGATCAGAATGCTGATCTGAACTGGTGATGCCTACTATATGCGATGAAAGAGTTGGCCTGACTAAATATGACTTTTTTTTGTTGCTCAGGTCAATATAGGGGCTGATCATAGAGTGCTGGATGGAGCAACTGTTGCCAGGTTTTGCAACGAGTGGAAACAATTTATACAGAATCCAGAGCTGCTCATGTTGCATATGAGATAGATGGCTGGTCATGTTGCTTGAAATATGCACTTCTCAACTTGCTAAATATTCGTTACTTAGCAGCTGGAGTTGCAACCAACATGTTACTACTATGCATAGATAATTTTAAAGCTGTTTACAAGCAAGATTCCCGGCTCAAGAGAAGTTAGGCGAAAATCGAAAAGTAGGCCTTTTTACAGCGGTTCAAGCTTGGAACCGATAATCTCAAATGATACACATGTAGACCTACTTTTTTCTATTAATAAATTTGATGAAGTAATTTAAAAAATAAATGATGTTTTACTTCAATTGCAAAAAATGGAGAACGATTTCTACTGCTGGTAAAAAGTACACATTTTTGGTTTAGAATACAAGGGGAAAAATAGAGGGGTCGAAAAGAAAGAGAAAAAGAAAACTCGTAGACAAAAAGTAAGAGGAAAAGCCGCGCCACAAGTTAAACCGTTTTCAACCGTCACCAACCGCTCAATGAAATCTAACGGACATTAACCTCATGTTTAAAACCGAGTCTTTCTTCACAAACCTGAATCTGTTCGTTCCTTTGCAGATCCCAAACCTTTCGGTTTTCTCTCCATGGCAATCAAAATGCACTTGCACATACTGGTTTCTCTCTTGGCTCTCTCCTTTGGCACCAAACTTTCAACTTCAGGTATTCACAGACCTTTTCCTTTCTTTCTTTCAGAAATTGGTTCACAATGCACCATGTCTTTAGACGTCTTCCTTGTCTGTGTTTGTTTCAGACGAAGCAGCGATGCCTGAGTTCACTTTCAGTTGGATGGATGACAAAGACACTTTCCGAGCCGGCGACACTGCAACCATAAGGATCAGAGCACTGAACAACTTTGACAAGCTTGACAAGAATGCGTTCAAGCCTACTCTCACAGTAAATGGGAAGCCTGGGAATAGCTCGTTTGTATCTGGGGTTTTGTCAGATTTTGAAGAAGACCCTACTAGTTGGAAACTTTTCTTCACTACGATAACTGCCGGATTGTTCAACGTTATGATCAACGAGGATCGCTACAAAGTGTTTGATTCTTCTCTGCATTTCCAAGTTCACCCAGGTGCTTTAGTTTCTTTAATTTCACTACAAGAATTGAGCTATTGATTCCCACAGCAACTGAGCTCTTTTTTTGTTTTTCATTTCACTGGAGTTGGTGTAGCTATTGTTTGCTACATCTCTGCATGTCCATCTCTCCAACTGTTTAACCCAATCTGTTTTGTTTACTTTTTTTATTGAAGGGAAAATGTACCCATCTGGCTGTGTTGTTTCTTGGATGGGTTCAGGTCATGAATTTGAAGCAGGGACTAAAGCTAGAGTGCTGATACTTCCCAAGGACGCATTTGGCAATAATATTAATATCTCTGAATCCACTGAAGATCCAAAGTTACATAATTTTACAGTGTCTGCATTCTACGCAAACGAGTCCATAGCAAGCCTGCCAGAAATCACCCATTTGGGTTGGAATGAAATTGGTTATATCATCGTTGAATTCCTTGTGGTGAAAGCTGGAGACCTCTTTTTGTATGTGGGAGGTGGTAATGAGACCTTGAATGGCTCTCCACTACCATTTAAGGTGAACCCAGGTGGTGTATCATAGCAATAGTTATACGTAAACTTTTGCTCAAGTGAAGTTATCTCTAATTTGTGATTCAAGCATTCTATTCATGTTTATAATAGCAATGATTATGCCCATTCGCATGCAGCATAGATTGGCCGATTGTGTTATTACTTCACACTTCACAGATGCATTCTTCTAGACTTTCCAATTGTTGGAAATGTTAATTTCATAAGATTTAAGATAATGGGAAACACGTACTTAGTTGTTACTTCCTACCCGTTTGTTGATTCTGATGCTTTGAAGGCTATTTTCTTATCTATATTTGTTGTAAGTAGCTTATCAAGTACCATTTTTTGTTTGTGATAAATTTTCATTTCCTATATAGCAGGACCACTAGAAGTTTCCAATTCTGTGGCCAAGTGGGATTTTGAACCAAATGCATGGCAATTATATTCCAAGATGGAAGTCCTTATACATCAGCAAGATCGATATGGGAACCTTGTTCCGGGTCTGTATGCATTTGACGCTGAAGTTGTTGAGATAAAGACAAACTTGTCTATACCTGTTGCAGATTTGCACTTCGAAGAAGTGGTGGCTGGAATTCAATTGTTTTCCTTTAGTAATCTGGAACCGGGAAACTTCTTGCTCACTATATCTGATATGAAGCATGACAAAAGTATCTCTAATATGCCATATGCTTATACTGTCTTTGTTGGTGCGTGCCGTTTAGCTGTTGAATCTTGTTATTAATAACCTATTGGCGTTTTCCACTTCTATTCACATGCCTCTCTCATGTTTCATTTAAATAGGTTATTGCAATGGGACAAACAGTGTTGTTAATGGATCTGGTTTAAATAGTTCTACTGCTGGAGAACGAGCAGAGTTTTCAGTTTACTTGAATGATGCTTATCAGTATCCTTCTCCTGCTGAAATAGAAAGGCTTGAAGTACAAATTGTAAGGGAAATTGACTCCTACCGAGTGCAGTCGAGCATATTTCCTATGCAGATCATGAATGGTATATATGCAAGCTAGCAACTTTTGAAGTGTTCCCTTTGATAAACATTTTTGTTATAATTTTACAAAAGTTTGTCTCTCTAAGTTAGGGACTGGACCTGCTCGAGGGATAAGATATGGTGCAACCAGCCAGATAGAAATCACTCCTTCACCATCTATGGACTCAGCAAATTCTGTAAGAAGTACCTGTGGATGCATGAACTGAAACACAATAAACATATACATACATAGATATATGCATTATTGCTTTAAGATTTTTGTATTCTAATTGACTTTCTTTCTGAATTCAGTCTGTTGGGAGCTTCAACACTCTGGCAACTGCTTTCAATGTGGTTTATACACCTGACAAGAGTGGGATTTATAGAATCTATGTACTTTGTGGAAATATTCTACTGAATGATGGTCAACCATTTACAATGGAAGTAAGAGGAGGTATAATTTCAGACCTGACATTTTCTATTATTTTTCATGACCATCATGTCAAGGAACTGCCTGAGAAAAACTGAAAATGAAGGAACCTAATGCAAATAGTGCATAACTTGAGCTGGAAGTTTTCCCTTTAGTAAATGATTTTTATTTTACCCTTTACAATGTCTAGTTTCAGTTGAATTAAATTATACATGATCTTGATTAGTTCGTCACAGTTTTTATTCATCATCCATATTGGTTTGTCGTACTTGGTAATTGCATGAACTATCATATTGTTTCAGCCTCTTATTTCATTTGTGATGAATGAATTCCTAACTTTTTTTCCGCAGGAGAGGTTAATACATCACTCTCACAAGTTGTCAAATTTTCTCCCAAGGTGCCAAAAATGATTAATAATGACGTAGTAGTGCAGCTCGTGGATTCATTTTTTAACCCTGTCTTGTCTCAACAATCCAGGCTGAAACTAGACATTGTTTCAGTTAACAGTTCTGGGTTTTCAAGTTCCGTGTTTGTGGATAATAGTAATGGCTCATACACGGTTCACTATCTGGCTGAGGATGTTGGAAGCTGTGAGATGTGTGCTTCATTTGAAGGCAAACAAGTCTCTCCCTGTCCCTTTGGGGTCAATGTCTACAGCAGTAAGAATAACAAGAAGTTATACAGGAATAGTTAAATTTTTTTTTGGGGGTTCAAACGTGCTAGGGAAATGATATATAATTGATGTTTATCGTCCTTTGTTATTGATACCAACCATTAATTTTACTTTCATCTTTAATATTATAGTTGATTTCTAACTTCCACAGACTGATTGATGTTCTTGGCCCTCTGCAGGTGAGTATTTTCCCAGAGCCTACATTGATACAATATCTGTATGGGAGGATGAGTCAATTGCTTTTGATGTTTTAGCAAATGACTACTTTGCTGGAAAGAATGCAAGTGTTGTTGAATTCTCAAAGGTACGCTATAAAGTGAAAGTATTTTTCTAACGTTTCCCTTCCCCACCCCTTCCAAAAGGATCGTTTTACCATTATTACTATGATGGTGAGCCTATTAGAATGAGCAACTCAATTGACCTACCCTCGGTGTCTTCTTTGTTGAACTAAAAGAATGCATTTATGTCTGTTACTTCAACTAAAAGGGAAACAAAATTCTCTGGATTCAGAACTGACTACTTCAAGTTTCTAGATGCACAAAGTTTTTGAACCACTGTTTCCTATGTAGAGAAGGTTGGAAGATTTGCATCATGTTTTGATACTATTTATGTACTCTCTCTTCTTTACAATGGAGCTGCTACTAATCAATGATCACAAGTAGGCATTTGCACACAAACAGCACCTACCATTTAAAGGATTTTTCTTGGAAATTTGACTGGCTTATATTTGTCAGCCAGGTCATGGTTCCCTTCTCGAGTATGGAAGGCTCCTCCGGTATACACCTCAAAAAGACTATTATGGGAATGATTCATTTGTGTACACAATGTCTGATATAAATGGGAATCTTGCTACTGCTGCTGTAAACATATCTGTTCTCACTATCCCACCCCAATTTGTTTCATTTCCAACTGAACTGCAAGCAACTGAAGATGAGATTAGTCCCAGATTTGGGTAAGGAACTATTAATATAGAACACTTCTTAGAAATTTCTGTATGATAATATGTTTGGCTATTTGCAAATTGCAGTGGTTTCCCAGGGTTTGAGATAAGATACTCAGACATGATGGAGAGCATCTCTGTTAATCTCAGCGCACAATCTGGGACGGTCTTTCTGGCTCCCATGCTAATGCAATTCTGGGAGCCAGTTTGGACAGAACTTTCTGTATACACAGAGGATGGAGAAGTGAAGGGTTTGATTTTAGAAGGCAACGTGGAAGTAATCAATTTTGCCCTTCAGTCAATTCAGTACTACGGGTAGGGTGTCCTTATGGCCCTTGTAGCTCCGAGTAACAAATTGCGGATAAAATTACCATTTGCAAAGTCTCATGTTGAATTGTTCTTTATTGCAGTTTTCAGGATCAGTAACTTTCTTTTTTTCTTTCTTCAATTTTCCTCTTCAGAAATGAGAACTTTTGTGGCTATGATACAGTTCGAGTCTCTACAAGGAACAGGAATGGAGTTAATGTACTGGATGTTCCAGTTTTGGTGGAACCTATTAACGATCCTCCATTTATTCATGCCCCTACATATATTATTTTGAAAAATAATGAAGATGAGTCACTGATATATGACAGAGAAAAAGACAAGTTTGAGTTCTGCATTGGAGATCCAGATCTTCTTGCCTTCCATGGTATGGTTAGATAAGATCATATGTCTTATGTATTGGGTCATGCTGGAGATGGGATTATTGACTTATGTTAAAACTAGAGCATCGTACTGCCAATATAGACATATTTATTAGTACTATGTCCAAGTGTTAAGTAAGTCAAATTTTGTTCATCATAAGTGGATTCTGAAATCCTGGACTGTATCACTATTTTGTTCTAGGCTAAAAGACGTCTTCAACCTGAGTTAGTGGATTGATGTAACTTCTTGGCTGGATAATCTTCCAGGTAATGAGTCCCTCTTCGCCGTCACATTTTCTGTGGAAGTTAATGATGGATTTTTGGTAACGAGCCTACCGGCTGGGCTCATCACTACAACTGAACTGAAGCTCAAGAACAGTTACCAGTGGCTACCTCTTCAAACATATGTCAGCATCTCAAAACATTTCAAGGTCAAAGCTAAGGGAGTTAGATTTCATGGAACAGTAAATGACTGCAACAGTGTAATGCAACAGCTCTTTTATCATGTAAGTTAGGTTCTTCACTTTGGACTTGATTGCAGCCTTGTTAATGGATTGATGAACCCCTGGTTCTGTGGAAGGCCAGGATTTTTCTTGCAGTACCTATGGAAGATGAAGCATATACAGAAATCTTCTTGCTGCAATAAATTACAGCATCTCAGGCCCTACCAATACCCCCTTCCTTGATTAGGAACACCAGAAATATAATATATATAAAAATCTTAGAGTGTACTGTGCTTTTTCAACCAAGCTAGCATTGCAAGTTTGGAATTTAAACTGGTCATCGTCTTGATTCGTTGCATTTTTTTTGTACAGGGAGGAGAACAGGATGCCATCTTGACAGTGACATTGAATGACATGGGAAACTATGGATGCTATTTTAATTGTGCTGAAAAGATATCAGTGCCTTTGCAGGCTGAGGCTTCTGTTAATCTAATAAGACGAAGGCCAATGAGTTCACTTGTGGCTCACGGTAAGTGGCAATCAACGTACATTGATTTCCTGAGTGATGATCTCAGAGATTGTCTAAAGTGCTTCTTTATTGAAACAGTCCATCTGTTTATTTTGTTTGCAATACAGGGTTGGGATCTGCTATTGTCCTTGAAGCCATTATAGTGTTTTCACTAGGATCAGCAGTACTATTTTTCACCTGCAAATGTGCAACACGCCTTGTAAATGAAAGAAGAAACAAAGCTACCAGGGGGCCTGAACCAGAAAGCACAAATAGTTTGCGCAAAGGGACTGTAAGTGTGCCGATAGTTTCTTCTAAAACATTTGCCTGAAATGCTCACCTCTTGATGTGCAATGCTGTGCTGATTTATGTGCAGCCAAAGACAAACGTATCAGAGCATGCAACTCACCTCACTGGGAGTTGTTCAAGCCCTTTGCTTGGCAGCCAACGTCCCAACTTTCGCCAACGGTAATAAGTTTTCGGGACTCAGATTTAGAGGTAATAGCAAAGGATTGTGAAGGATATTTTCTGACGTGTAATTTCTTTGGATATATACAGGCCGTCCTGCCCTCAATCTGGAGATGAGGGATCTTCCAAGGCAGCATATCAGAGGTTCCGTTCTACTAGTGGACGCAGTCAGCACACTCCTGCGCCTATCTTTGTGCCCCTTGCTATTGAAAAGAAACAAAGTGAAACAGTTTGAGCTTTTGACGTTGTGTATTGTCCAAATTACTCAATGTAAGACCTGGTTTTCTTTTTCTGGAAACAAATGGATGTACTTTTCTTTCCCTTTTCGTTCATCTCCTCTGTTTTTGGCTCTATGCTTAATTTTATGAAAGTAAATTGTGGTTTCAATGTGGTTATAGAGATGTGGGTTATGTCAGTTGGCCAAGGCATTGTGCCCCACCTCTTGCACCAAGTTCGATCCCCCTCCCCGTTCGTCTGTACATTAGAGTAGTAAAAAAAAAGGTTATAGATTGTGTAAATTCTGCCATACAATACAACCACTCTTTAAACTGTTAAATGTGACGGATTCATCTTTCTTTCTTATTTAGAATAATAACTTCAGGACAAGTTGTTTTGACATTTTTTTTTCACAATTCTATCGATTTTGTAACATGATGTAACTGAAAGGCCAATGCACCTCCAATTAGAAAAGAAAAAAGAAAGTTAAAATTGGATTAAGACATAGAAATATGATCTTGGCTTTTGGGCTTATGGCTTTATTACATTACCTCAATTTATACGGAAAAAATAATAATAGAAATAAAACAAAATAATGTCGATGAAAATGAAATGATGCGACAAAATATATGTAAAATTGAAAAGGCACGAAGTCATTAGCTGAACAGCCTGACAAACGACTGGCGGAGCAGAACAGAGCAGGCTTTGATTTACAAATTGAAGTAAACGACATCTCCGTGCGGGAGAGTTTGAGCTTGGAATCGTCGTCGGAGTCAAAGACGAAGAAGAAGTGTGGGATTTGGAGATGGCTACGGCGGCGTTAGAGAAGCTTCTGCAAGTAGGCACTAAGATCGTCGGAGTTGGCAGAAACTATGCCGCTCACGCCAAGGAACTCGGCAACGCCGTCCCCAAGGTCCTTATTTCTCTCTCACTCTCTCCGATCCTCTCTCTGCGCTGCATTTCGTTAATTTCTGTATCTTAATTTTTTTTTTCTTCCATTTTTGAGATTTGATTTTGTTAATTCATGAAGGATCCTGTGCTTTTTCTCAAACCGACGTCGTCTTATTTGGAAAACGGAGGCACAATCGAGGTCCCTCACCCTCTGTTGTCGTTGGACCATGAGGTGGAGCTGGCCGTCGTCATCTCTAAGAAAGCTCGCGATGTTCCGCAGGCCACTGCCATGGACTACGTTGCCGGTATACTTTTATTTGTTCACCAATTAATTCTGCTATTAATTTTAATTTTATTTTTAATTTTGAAAAGTTAAGATTTTTTTGGAGTTGAATCTAATTCAAGCTTCTGCCATGGACAATCGAATCATTTTAAGGTTATGCACTTGCTCTTGATATGACTGCCAGAGAAATTCAAGCTTCTGCTAAGGTAATTTACTATAATTAGGCAGTATATTTTCACAGTAGTCTCTAATTACAGTGGTAATACTATAATTATGATAATCAATTTGAGATTCCAATTTAAACGGCTACTACAATCGTTGGTTTCCTATCAATGAGTTACCTTAAAACTTTGGTTTTTTCGCCTTTTCATCCGTAAGGGTCAATACAAATGATGCTTCGCAGAGGTAAATAAACATTACATGAACAACTTTAATATGCCGAGAGGTAACAGGCTTTTGATATAAACTGTGAAAGCAGGTTCACTGCTATGCCTGTTTCCATGAAGAACAAGGGTGGAACAGTTCAAATTCTGAACTTGCACTCTTGTGTTGGATATCTACGGTTAAAACATGTTCCTTTTATTTTCCCTCTCCAAAGTGAGAATAAAGTTTAGTACATGGGCTTAATGCGCATGTCAGTATAGTATCGTTGTCATTGTTAATGTAAGTAGTGTTCTTTGACAGTCTGCAGGTCTTCCATGGACCATAGCTAAAGGGCAGGACACCTTCACACCAATCAGTTCCTTGGTAAGAATTGCGTTGCAGATCTTTGATACTTTTCTCTGTGTTATTAGTGCTTTTCTATTGTACGTTTAGAGTGTGTGAGCCGGCTACGAAGAAGTTCGCTTCAGACCAATAAGTGCAAAAGATAACTTACTCATCACAACAATATGGTGTGGGAGTGGGGTGATATGGTGAAGCAAGATGGAAATTCATTTGTGTGTGTGTGTGTGTGTGTTTTTATTGATTATTATTATAAATTTCATGGTTCTGTATTGTTATATACTTGTATTGTAATACGGTGTGTGTTATTGCATTTTATGTGCTATATTGTTTGGTTACTGTGACATTTATAATTTTAGAAAGGAATGACATTTCTTAAAAGAAGAGAGAGTTTACTCAAGTGGAGCTGCTGAGATTAATTTACGTTTAGCTATACCCCTAGTTAACATCTGTTTTCTGGATCCCCTGTGGAGCTACGAGTGTTAGTATAGTTGTAAACTTGGAGTTTTACCACAATTACTATTTATTTATTTTTCAGTTTGGGAGGTAAATTGTTCTATCTCTATAAACAGCTATTTTCTTTTATCTTTTTAATTTTTGAAGCATGCTAAGCTATTTGACTCTCCAAACTTCAAGCAGCTACCCAAGGAAATGGTGCCAGACCCAGACAATATAGAGTTGTGGCTGAAGGTTAGTGTTTCCTTTTCTACAACCTTCTTTATTCGTGTCCTGGTTTTTGAATTGGTCACCACTTCTGATGTGTTCAAATTAATTTGCTTCACCATAGGTAGATGGAGAATTGAGGCAGAAGGGCTCAACCAAGGATATGATATTTAAGCTCCCATTTCTCATCAGCCACATAAGCTCTATTATGACACTTCTTGAAGGAGATGTAATACTAACAGGTAGACGGTTTACATCTGCTTCTAAGGTTTTCCTCCCCTTGCCTAGGAGTCACAAATACTTTTGACGTCCAGCTAAACACATTTTGGCACTGTTTGTGCAGGCACTCCCAAAGGTGTTGGCCCAGTTAAAGTAGGTCAAAAGATAACTGCTGGCATAACGAACCTCCTGGACGTTGAATTCAATGTTGAAAAAAGGCAGAAGAAAGGAAGCTCTTGAGCTGATTGAATTTTCTACCAGGTGTTATTGCATTTGACAGTTCCAGGAGGAAAAAGAAAATAATTTCAACTGAAACCAGAGAACTGGAGTGAGCATGGATGCAGACACAAAGCTGTTGCAGTCTTGGTTAGCATAAACTCTCAGTTCAATTCAAGGATCTTGCAAGGCGGTAATTAAACATGTCCATTTGTTTCGTTCTTCATGTTGGGAATGAATGGAGGGATAATAAGAAATTAGTCGTAGAAATAACTTGGGATGGCAAAAAACTTTTCCACAGTTCTGAATTTGGCATGGAAGATGTCAGAGGTGCAAAGAATTTTGGTGCTCTTTTTTTATTTTAAAACAGTAATGCTATTTACTCTTGCTCCCTACCCAGAAAAATTTCTTCCATTTGTAATTTGGGTTACTTGACAAGGAAGAGGTTTCTAGACTTATATATATATTTTATAATTTTGGATTGATTTGATGATTATATCCATGGATTTAACAGTTTTTTTTTACAGAGAGATTATTTAAGAGCACCTATATTAATGTTACGGACCATGAGTGATAAAAAAAACTTTAAGGATGCAATTTGATAGTTTTGCAAACATCAAGAACGTTTTTTTGATAAAAAGCCTTTCTTAAAAGAAGAGAATTCCTTGTTTAGAGGCAGGGATGGGAGGTGAGGATGGAAACCTGAGCCAATTGGCTCTATTTTTGCCAAATATAATTTTTAGTTTTAGCAACAATGCGAATTTACATGGCTTGAACGCATAAAACAAATAAGCTTTACTGGGAAATTGCAAAAGAAACAAACGTCAGAGCTATGCTCACCAACAGCAACAATGACTGTTTCTGTAACTCCACTTCTTGATCTCTTTGGTGGTTTCGGAAGTCCACACCTCATCATCATCATCATCATCGATCTCCTGCTCTACTTGTTCCTCTGCGGTTTGTTCATTTTCCAAGTCCGCACCACGTACGGGGACTGGGGCCTCCTCAACGTCACCCTCCTTCTCAGCAGCATGAATCCCCTGCTCTACTTGTTCCAACAGACTACTTTGTTTGTCTCCTTTGTTAGCAGATTTTCGTGATTTCTCGTTGCGATAAAAGTATACGGAGATACACATGTAATAAATTAGGTTAGCAAGACTTAGGTAAGTTAATAGCTCGAGAAAACGATCCAGGCGACTCCCATTTATGTTGGGATGGAACCAACTTCGCCTAAACACTAAAATGCTAGAAGCTGTAACTAATTTTCCAACACCAAGGATGAGGTCAGAGATGTGGGATGCATAATAGTACCTCGCCCTTAGCCTATCATTATTAGCAATTCGATCAGCAAGGAACTCAGTCAATCCATTTAGGGCTAGCCCTTTCATCAGTCCCAACAGGACGAACTGTGGAACTAACCACACAGCGCTCATAGGAATCGTCTTAGATGTGCCATGTTCGCGTCTCTCACCGCTAACTAACTTCAACCTCTTTCCCTCAACCTGCCACGCTGCAACACAACATAGCACAGAACATGCCAATCCGCAGCCAATTCTCACCAGTGTAGCCTTTCTCCACTGCTTTGGAATCAGTAAGTTGTAGATAAATGAGACTAAGAAACTTGAGAAGCCGCTAACTAGTGTCAAAAATACTGCCACGTCCATCACTGACCCAATGCCACTATCTGTATCCAAACTACTCATTTGTTCAAAAAATAAGGTGCTCCCTGTTGCCTCCACCAAACTGTATGCGAAGAAGGCCGACCACATAGCGATCACTTCTATGAAAAACCCCTTTCCCGCCTTCAGTTCTATGAGTGGCCAAAACTTTTTTCTTTGTGCTTCTTCTGGTGGACACGAGGAGGACGAGGTCACTCTTGTGACTATGCAAATCTCTCCTCCTCTTTGTTCTTGTTCTTGTTCTTGTTCTTGTACTGGATAGACAAGGGATAATTTTTTAAGATAGTACAGACGAGATTTCCAAGTAGATTTGTGAATTCTTCTACTTAAGAAGTAACAGGAGTAGCCAAGCAAGAACAGCAAATAAGAGACTCCCACTAAAATTGTTGAAACCATGAACGTACTTGTCCAGGACGGAGTTGGAAGGAAAACAGCTAGCAATGCACCTAAAAACCAGGGATGGCGCCACAAAGCTTCTTTACGAGTTTCCAGTCGTTTTAAATAATTTTCATCTGTTGACGGTCTTTCTTTCTGTTCACTGAAATATTGATCGTCAAGAAATTCCTTCAAGGTAGCCGATCGACCAGCTTCTCCTATTCCTATCAGTACCGCTGCTCCATAGTATACCTTAGCCTCAGTTTGCGCGCTCATAAACTTAGAACGAATCCACAATAGGAGCAGTCCCTGCATATATGCATGCAAAATAATTAACATATATAGCGTTTTTTTTTGGGCAAAGGTACGCTTACGGAAATTAACTTAAGTGACAGGGGATGCAAGATTGAATTGTAATGGTAAAACAAGCTTAATTTTAAGTTTTAATGCAAGAAGACTTACAAGTAAATAAGCAGCATTTGTGGAGGCAATCATTTTAAAACGAGTCATGTGCGTGTCTGATATACGAGCAAGAACAATCACCATGATGTCTGATACGCCTTCTTGGACATTTGTAACTAGAGCAGCCATTGCAAAATTGCTAGTACGCCAATTCTCGGTGAGGTACGTCATTAAGATAGACACTAACGCATTGTTTACGTAGCTGTGGCTGAATACCAGACCTATATATTATGCCAGCACAAAGCAACAGAAGAAGTCAGAAACAGTTGTTTTCAATTCTGAAACCTGCTCGAATGAAGTAACGTTAATTAGGTAAACTCAAAATTCAGTGAATTCAACAGGTAGTGATGAATCACCTCGGATCGGTGTAGTAGCCATGGAAAAGTAGAAGTGGTTTCCAAGCCACTTTCTCACTGAATCAATGCATTGGTAAGGAAGGATGTTGCAACGGCCCCAGATAAGCCCTAGGCGAATCATACTTTGAATCCTCACTATTGAGTCCGCTCTGAAAAATGCTCTCATGGCAGGCCGGCAAAACCTGCAATCACAGCTTCCAAAATGCATGCTAGTGAATAGGTTAATTAATATACTTGCGTGGATAATTTGGTGGGTTAAAAATACTGAAAATTTTGTCCAAGCAAAATAAATCAAAAGGACAAATATGCAGATCCAGTAAGTACATGCATGCACGGTGTATGGTATAACATGAAATAAAAATTAGGGTTTTGTCCTTGATCTTATAATTTACACATCAGTTTGGTCACTCTTGTCTCATTAGCGCAAAGTCTTGGTTAAAACATAACATATCCAGCCATAACATAAAGCAAGGCTCTTGCTCAATAAGTCTATCTGGTTGCCTTGATGTAACCAAATATGTGAAACTTTAAATGGAAAAAGAACTTGTCGAGCAAAAACGTGAATTTTAAGACTAATTAAATTAGCTATATATTGATAACAATACCCCTTTAAAGTTGGAAACGTGACCAAATTTAACGAAAGTTGTCGCAATGAGATGATAGAGACCAAATTGATGTGTGGACCAAAAGATGAAGGACTGCATTGATTGATTTGAAAGTTTAATGACTAAAATGAGGACTTTGAAAAGCTTAGAGACCTCTTAAAATAAAAACCCTAAAAATATGACAATATGTATTTCCAATAGTTACTCAATTTGAAATTTGAATTCACATACATATATTTTGTAACCTAACTACTAGAAACAATAATTATTGTCAAAACATATGATCAATTTACATCTAGTCTTTTTTTTTTTTTGGGACAGAAACTCTACATCTAGTTTAATCACATTCATCTTCAATATTTCATTTTTATAGTAAAATAACATATATAATTGATTTATGAAATTATAATTATTCATTTTGACCCAAAATTCGGAATCAAACTGTACTCTAAACCTTAAGCGATGACCCAAAGTTGAGAAATTTAACTAAAAACCTTAAGCAATGACAGATATCTTCTTCCTGACAAAGCTACAGACTAAATTACTAAAGAAATATACACAATGTAGTTCAGATAAACATCGAAAACACAAACGAACATGCATATTAATTCTTAAAGTACAAATATATATTTACTATTTATTTTCCGAGAGAAAGACTAGAGATGCCTACCTCCAAGATTTGCTCGACTATCTCCACTTCTGTGTATTGTCTGGAAGAGTCAGTACGTATGGACTGGATATAGAGAAAAGGAGAGAAAGAGGATGAAGGTGAAGGTGAAGGGGAGTACGGATATATTGAGCCTCCTCAGTTTTGTTTTCCCTTATTTTATACTAGTGGCTCTCCCGCTCCCCCCCCCCCCCCCCCCCCCCCCCCCCCCCCCCGCTTAGACGCGTTTGCGATTGAATGAATGCATGAATTTCGACCAAAAAGGGGTGGAGAAGATGCAGGGAGTTTCCCCTCTCTTTGCCTTTTTTGTTTCGGAAAGCGTTTGCAATGGTATGTTATATTATTATATTTGCATCGCCAGCCACTGTTGCTGTTCATCGCCTTTTTTGTTTCGGAAAGCGTTTGCAATGGCTGAACGACAAACAAGTTTTACCAACATTGTAGTTGACCTGTGGCTTATATGGAGTTGGGCCCCATTTTTTTTTTCCTACGGACGAACGGACGAAGAACATGATTAAAACATTTGCAAAGACCCTTGTCTTCTGTTTCCTTTCCTTTTAGAAAAGTAGCATTCCTCTTCTTTGTCATTTCTTCCAAAGAAACAAAAAAGAGCATGTTCTTATTGGTTGCTAATGCAATTTGTAAAGGCGGCTTCCCTTTCCAATCTCAAATGGTTTCTCTCCCCTAGACCTCCACACTGTCTGAAACCAACTTTCCGTTGTTCATCTCTCTTTCTCTCTCTCTGAGTACGCATTTTCACACATTATTACTTCAAATATATTTCCACCTTAAAAGATGCAGAAATTAAAATATTCAAAAGCGAAATAAGCACCTTACATGAGACCATCTGTTTGAGGTTTCAAACTTGAGTGATCATTTTATGAAGTGTTGTTCAAAAGGATGTACAAACTTAGCTGTCATTAGAAAAATGCAACTCTAGTTATTAGAAAAATCAAATAAAATAATTTCGTCACATTGTAGTTGTTGAACTACTTGGTCGTACAACTTGCTCTTCTTAAATTCGTTTACTTGTAATGGTGTTTCTTTATTTCGACCAAATATTCAAAGACTTTCAATGCACCTGGTTCTGGTTTTTTTTTAATTTTTAAATATGTAAGAAATTAGTCTTCGTCTTTTTCTTTTTCATTAAGAAAAAGTCTTCGTCTTTTTTTATATAAAAAAATGAAGAAAAAGAAGAGAAAGTCTTCTCTTCTCTTTTCATTAAAAACAGCAAAAGAAAAAAAGAGGAAGTCTTTCTCTTCTTGGTTGCTATTACAATGGTCGCTTACTATATTTATAAGTTTCTCTCACTCGCCTCTTCCACACTGCCTAAACAAACTTAGTTTGCAGAAGTTTTTCTCAGAGTGCATCTTCTCCTCACCTCCTTCTCTCTCTCTCTCTCTCTCTCTCTCTCTCTCACACACACACACACACACACACACAGTAAACATTCACACTCACAGAGTGCATCTTCCTTTGCATTATATGTTTTCATTGCTATTATTTTTGGCTAATATGCATTTCGTTTTGCAAGAGAAGAGGGAACTAATTTAATTAGTTGTGAAGACTGCAGATTTTGCTTTCAAAAGAACACCCTCCCTCACTTCCTTTACATCGACTGAAGATTATCCGCACTCCCCTCCTCAATAATGGGTTTGGGAGCACTCATTCACTTTCTGAGAGAGGGGAACCATAAGCACCTCTACTTTTCCAAGGCTACAATATGCATCCAGGGTATTTATCTCAGAGATACTTTAAAAGGAAAGTATAATGATATATTTTAAAGAGTGTGATTCAAACTAATTTCTAATCAATTTTCTTTTTATTTCTACATATATATATATATATATATATATTAGGTGGGCTCGGTTTGGTTTGGTTTGGTTTTGAGGTCAAACCGTGCGCCTAACCATGAACACTGGTTTGGAGAAATTCAAACCGTGCGCCGAACCAATGAGGTGGGAAACCGATCATCTCGGTTAACCGGTTGCACTATCTTCCACAATTAACCGGGAAAGAGAAGAGAAAACCATGCATCACAGATTCACAATGCGTATTTACATAACATAAACCCACCGGGAAATTGCAGAGAAGCAAAATCAGCTCACCAACGGCAACAATCACCGTTTTTGTAACTACACTTCTTGAGCGCTTTGGTGGATTCCGAAGTCCACACTACCACTAACTAAGGTTGTTGTCCTCCTCCTTGGCATCTTCATTTATCTCCTGCTCTGGGGCGTCCTCCTCCTCGTCATCTTCATTGATCTCCTGCTCTGGGGCGTCAACGTCACCAATCTCATGAGCATCAATCCCCTGTTCATTTCCATTGTCCGCAGATTTTCGTGATTTGTCATTGCGATAGAAGTATAAGGAGATGCACACGTAATAAATTAGGTTAACAAGACTTAGGTAAGTTAATAGCTCAAAAAAACGATCCAGGCGACTCCCATTTATGTTGTGATGGAACCAACTTCGCCTAAACAATATTATGGTAGAAGCTGTAATTAATTTTCCAACACCAAGGATGAGGTCGGAGATGAGAAGACAAGGGATAATTTTTTAAGATAGTCCTGACGAGCTTTCCAAGTAGATTCGTCAATTCCTCTGCTTACGAAGTAACAGGAGTAGCCATACAAGAACACAAAACTAGCGACTCCCACTAAAATTGCTGAAATCATGAACGTAGTTTTCCAGGACCCAGTTGGAAGTAAAACAGCTAACAATGCACCTAAAAACCAGGGATGGGGCCACAAAGCTTCTTTACGAGTTTCCAGTCGTTTTAAATAATTTTCTTCAGTGGACGTTCTTTCTTTCTGTTCACTAAAATATTGATCCTCAAGAAATTCCTGCAATGTAGCCGATCGACCAGCTTCCCCTAATACTATCAGTGGCGCTGCTCCATAGTATACCTTAGCCTCAGTATGTGTGCTCATAAACTGAGAACAAATCCACAATAGAAGCAGTCCCTGCATGTGCATATATTATATATAGGCAGCAAATACAACTGCATGCATATACAATCGAGTTTTAGAGATTTCTTTTATTCACATTTTTACATTTTTGCAAAGATACGCACACATGGAGATTAAGTGACAGGGGATCCAAGATTAAATTGTAACGGTAGTTCAATCAGCTTAATTTTAACTTTTAATGCAAGAAGACTTACAAGAAAGAAAGCAGCATTTGTGGACGCAATCGTTTTAAAACGAGCCATGTGCGTGCCTGATATATGAGCAAGAACAATCACCATGATGCCTGATACCCCTTCTTGGACATTTGTAACTAGGGCAGCCATTTCAAAATGTGGTGTACTCCAATTATCATTGAGGTACGTTATCAAGATATTCACTAACGCGTGGTTTACGAAGCTACCAGAGCTATATATACATATATATGCCATCACAAAGCAACAGAAGAAATCAGTAACTAAGTTGGTTTGGAAGAAGTATATAAGATAAAATTCAATGAATAAGTGCATGTTAATTCTGTTGACGTGAGTCTCCTAATTAATCAATGAGATTTATTTCCTTGATTAATTAAGAAATTTACTTTCTTATTTTATATAGTTGAAAAATTATTGTATAATTAAAAAATACTATCCTAATTGATTACTGTACATATTTTCTTGTAAAGCACTCATATAAACTCCTATATATACCTCTTTATAGAGAAGAATAAAACATAACTTAAAGTATTCAAACCATATTCATATTTTAGCAAATTCAACAGGGATGAATAACCTCGGATGCATGTAGTAGCCTCGGAAAAGTAGCAGTAGTTTCCAATCCAGTTTCTCACTGAGACAATGCATGGGTAGAGAAGAATGTTGCGATGACCCCACTCAAGCCCTGCGCGAGTCAGAGTTTGAACTCTCAATATTGAGTCAGCTCTGAAGAACTCTCTCATGGCAAGCAAAACCTGCAATCGTAGCTTCCAAAATGCATAATAAAAATTAGTGAATGTATAGGTTATATATAAGTGAGGTCAAACTTCAAATAGAATAGATTACTATTAGAAATACAAATATTGTCATATTTAATCATAATTATTTTTTTGACAAAATTGTAGCAATGGTCTCCCAAATAAGGCCCTACTTTACTTTTCGTCCCTCAATCTCAAAAATGATTATGGTCGTCATTCAATTAGATATCGTGTTGCATCATTTGTCACTCCGTCAATTTTGTTAGATTTTCTGTCAAAATTAAGGACAAATTAGGAAATTCTTGTCACATATTTATTAGATAAATAAACTATTTAAAGAAAAAAAACACCGACACTACCCAAAAAACAGCCACCTTATCCCCATCCCCACTTACCCAAATTTATCACTGCAACCACCCACCTCAACTCAACAGCTTCCACCTCTACGCTTTTCCCTGCATCACCAAGCTCGAGCTCAGCACCACCAGGCTCAAACCCATCAAAATGAGTATACCCTCTTCCACCCCACCCACAGTCCACCCCAATCTCTCGGCCACGATACTCCTCAAATAAATAAATAAATAAATATATATATATATATCTCTCTCTCTCTCTCTCAGTTTGGTTACCGCATCCCCTGTTGGTACAATTCTATATAAAATTGAATTTCTGGATTTTTTTTTAATATTGAACTTCCCTTTTTCATTCTTGAATTGTTGTTGATTGGCTTCGTTCTATTTGGACATTAGTGTTTAGTTCTCAGATTAAGAGGCTTGGTTGCTGAGGTAAGGGGAGGGTTGGTTTTTGGGGAGGTTCGTGCGACTGGGCTGAGAAGTGGTGAGGGTAGTAACTGGGTAAAAGTCTTATTTGCCCTTCAAAAAAATATCATGTGCATTGTGATCCATTTTGATGGAAAAACTAACAGAGTTGACAAAAAAGACAAGCGGTGCAATGTGATATTTAATTAAAGGATCACCGTAACAATTTTTGAGGTTGAGGGACGAAAAGTAAAATAGGGCCTTATTTGAAGAACTATTGCTACAATTTATCCTATTTATTTTGACCCCAAGTTTCAACAATTAAACTATAAACCTTAAGCAATGAGAGATTCTAACAAAGGGTTGGTAGACGTGGGTTATGTCAGTTGGTTAGGGTAGTGAGCCTCTTGCATTTAAGGGCCAGTTTGGCATTGTTGTGTTGTGAAAATAATCGCTGTCATATTTGCTGTGAGAGAAAGCATAATATGCCTCTTACTTGAGTCTTGTGGCTTCTCAGGAGTGTGCTTCAATTGATTCAACAAGAAAAAATAATAGGAAGAATAGAAGAGATTGCGTGAAACAATTGGGCTATTTTTGGAAGTTTGTAAATTTCATTAAACACAGCACCTCTTCGAAACTGATTAATGCATAATCAGAAAATGAAAGCACTTCATTAGCTGCTTTAACTTATTGCTTTCTCTCACATGAATTTTTAACAATAAGTGATTTTCTCATAGTTTACCGAACGGGCTGAGCTTCTCAAAATTTTTAAAAAATCACTTTTCACCCCAAATAAGCAATGCCAAATTGGCACTAAGGGCCAGTTTGGGATTGCTGTCATTTAAAAAAAAATTGTTTCTACTGAGCTTTGAAAATAATTAGCTATAAAGTAAAATAGCCCCCAACTGTGTCAAAACCGTTTGCTTTGAAAATAATTAACTACAAAGTAAAGAGGCTCATCTCTGCTTCTTTTAAAGCATATTTGAAAAGCAGCCCAGAATCTGCTTTAAAAACTGCTGTCAAAAGGTCACTGCTTTTAAAATAATCGGGATATTTTATTTTTACCAAACACCTTAAACTGCTTAACTTTAAAGTGAAGCCGATTTTTGGCCCAAAAAAAAATCCCAAATGGGGCCTAAGTTTGAATTCTCATTTTCATAGATTAGATTAATTTAATATAATTTTAGATTATTACTTATATAAAATAAAATAAAACTTAAACCTAACAAAGGAGTATAGAGCCTGTTTGGGAGTGCATTTGGAAGGGCAAAAAGCGCTTTCTGATAACTAAAAGCGCTTTTGACAGCGTTTGGCAGAAAAGCTTAGAAGTGCTTTTGGATCATAGAAGCGCTTCCTGGAGAAGCACCTACTATGTGCTTCTTTAGGAAGCACTCCCCAGTGCTTTTCCACGAAGCACTTTAATTTTTTATGAAAATTCTAAATTTTTATAATAAAAGCGCTTTTATTAGAAGCACTTATGAGCAGAAGTACTTCCTAGAGAAGCAGTCCCAAATGAGCCCTAAATTACTAAAGAAAAATACAAAAAGAAGTCCAGATGGCTAGGATCACTGATCGAAGAGAGTAATTCAAAAATGAAGAAAAGCATGGAAAAGACGAAACAAGCGTGGCAATTGTAAAGTATAAAATACATCTGTTCTGATACTTAAACAAAAAAAAAGTTCCGACAGAAAGACTAGAAGCAAAGATGTGTACCTCCAATCCAATGTTTACCGGACTCTCTCCACTACTGTGTACTGAGAGAGAGGAGAGAGAGTGTGAGAGAGAGGGAGGATGAAGGAGAAGATGAGGAGAAGACACATTTGCTCTCTATATGAGATATCTGAAACGAAAGTCCAAGTCTTCTCTTCAAGTCTTCTCTTTTTTATTATGAATATAATGAGGATTGAATGAGACTTTCAGAAAGTGCATGTTTCTTTTTAACCTCATTGTTAACCTTGTTATTTATATAAGTTTACTACAATATTATTTATTAAAAAATAAATCTTGTCGACTTCTCGACTGACTAGGTAGAATACTGGGCAATAACAGATTTCTAGTTTGAACAGAACTGTATTTGGACAGAGTCGAAATTTAGTGGTGGTACATATACGTTTAAAGCAGTGGCACATGTTGTAATTCTTAAGGACACTAATCCTAAAACAAGAATCTAGCTGGCGAACCTCAATTATTGATGGGTTGTAATATGGCGTGTTTTATTGCATTAATGTGCTATATTGTTTGTTTACTGTGACTTTTATCATTTTAGAAAGGAATGAAATTTTCTTAAAAGAAGAGAGTTTACTGATCTCCCCTACCCAATGAGATCCTTGTTTGGAGGCGGGGATGGAAAACCTGACCCAATTGCCTCTCTTTTCGCTCCATTATGACACTTCTTGAAGGAGATGTAATACTATCAGGAACAGAAAACCGGAACATGGAACCAGATGAAAAAAATCGGAAAAAAAAAACAGTTGATTAAAAAATTCTCTGCTTGTTTTGATGAAATATGTTCAAAGCGGAAGAAGATGCTTAGAATGGTTTATGTGGCGTTTGGTTGCTGGTTGGTGATGGCTACTTCTGTAATATTGTCTCATTTCTCAAATTAATTGTTGTACTTTTTGTTTGGTGAATGAATTTAATGGTCTGGATGAAGTAGGTGTGTGGGTTAGTTCTCACAGATAAATTTTTAAGAAACATAGAGAAGAAAACAATTTCTGTCCTGTGAAAAAAATCTCATCAGATCCCCAGTCCACAACCCAATAAGATATGGACAATTTCCAGCGCCACGGGGATAATTTGACCTGTTAAATCAGTGGGGGTCTTCAATTTAGTTTTGTTTTTCTTCAGTGGTTGATTATTTTTGTTCGGGTTAATGACCTAAATGGTCCCCCAATTATTGCTCAAATATCATTTTGGTTTACTAACTAAAATTTTTAATTCAAACGTCCTTAAACTTTTTATTTTGTACCAAGATGGTCCATCCGTTAAAGTATGTGTATTATTCCGTGAAATCGAGGGACAAAATCGTATTTTTAGGTGAGTATCTTCCTGTAAAACGACCACTGCATGTACACTCCTCACATATCCAAATTCACAGCTTGGCGGCCGCGCATTCCGGGGCAGGTGAGGTGAAAGTCGCGCTCGCAGCCATCGTAGCCAACCACTTGGTCATGAACCTCATGCTTGCCGTAGAAGGAGCAATCGAAGCCGCGAGCCGAGTCGGGAACACCGAAACAAAGAGACCAGTTTTACTTGGATCCGACGGCTAGGGGAAATTGCTTGGATAAGGGCATACAACGTCATAGGAATTAGAGGGGGCTGGAGGCAGTGGCGGACCTCATGGTAGCCATGGAAATGGGCTTGAAGGTCCTTGTTTGCTGGTGATGCAACTTTGAGTTCCCATTAACTGCTCGATAGAAGTCCAGACAGAGGAAGAGAAGGGTTTTTGTTGGGATATAATGGACCAAAATCTTTGGAATTCAGCCTCTTTGTGAGGCCATCAAGTCATTGAGGATCTGTTGCTGGGTAAGGAAAGGGGAGGGGTTGCGTTTTGGGGATGGTCGAGGAAGACTAGATTTGGGTGGGGTGGGTTGTTTTTCTTTTTATTTTTAGCTTTTTGTTATTTTAAAGAATTTACTACCTCCCTTCATCTTCAACCCTCTATGACCTTTGATGAATTTTATGATTTGTTAATACAGGAAGAATAGCTGCTAAAGAGGATGTCTTCCCTCTCCTCACAAGGCATGGCACTCATCTCTCCATAAGTCATAATGGTCCTTTGAAACTCACTAATGTTCTATGTGTTCCCGCTATACAAAAGAATCTATATCTATACAACGTTTTTCTAAGGATAATAATTGCTATTTTGAGATGCACGCTAATGGTTTTTATGTAAAGGACAATATGACGGGGAGGATACTACTCACTGGCAGTAGTTCTGGCGACTTGTACCATATTCCTTGCATATAAACAGATCAAATAGAATCAGAATACCCATCATATGGGCTATTCTCCTGTTCTACTTATTCTTCTCTAAACTCTCTAGTTCTCTACAGAATTGGGGAAGTGGAGTAGATTGTTCAGATCCCCTAAAGTGGAAAGTAGTGGAAGTGCATGAATAAGTTACTGTTTAAACTTTATAGAGTTGTAGGCTAGAAGAACATCAGATATATATATATATTACCATCTCAAAAAACACAACACTTCAAAGTCACACAAAAGCACTTAAAAGTCACGCGATCGAGAAATGCATAATAGAAAGTTTGAAACAGCAGCAGCAGCATACAAAATACATACATATATAGACAGCCAATTAGTGAAATTTTGCGATGAAGTCATGAATGTGTTTGTTGATTTCATCAGGCCTTTCTTGGTTGATAAAATGGGCAACTCCTTCCATTACAACTACCTCTTCCAGAAGAGGCACACATTTCTTGAACCCACCTTTGTGTATGAAGTCCTTGGTGCCCACAGAATTATAAGTTAGGTCCTGGTCCCCCACAATAAACTTAACTGGAACTTTCACTTGAGCCCCAGTCCATGCAGCAGTGAGTTCCCAATTTCTGCAATGAAAGGGGAAATAATACAAAACAATAATTACCATTAGATATTGGAGATCAAAGAAGAAAAACTCTTTCTTCCGAAAATTAGTTTGTGCATATGAAATTCAAGTAAACTAAGTTTAAAGGAAATTACATACAGGTTCAAGTTTCTGTAGTAGTTTATTCCCCCAGTGAATCCTGTCTTCTCAAATTTGCTGGCATAGTAGTTGAATTCATCCTCAGACAACCAACTTGGCAAGACGATTGGAGCATCTGGGGGATGTCCAAACATTTTGTCTTTAGGCAGGAAAATTGGACCAGGATTGCGATATGTTAGAAATTCCTTCATAACTCTTGCAGTACCAATCTTGGCAAACTCAGCTTCTATCACTCCTGGCTCCTGTAACGAGAGTAATTTGTCTATCATTTCATAAGCCAGAAGTTAAATTTATGCAATATATATGTTGCTTCAGAACATTTTCACACTTCACACTAATTTGATCAATGTTCCTTATTCACAATCTAGCAACACGATTTTTCTACAGTACATTCACATACATAATACAAGAACCTCGAAATACCACTCGTTGGGAAATACTCAATGAGTCAAATGTCCCACTCAATTAGCAACAAGATTTTCCTACAACAAACACCTCGAAATACCCCTCGTTGGGAATCACTCAACGAGTGGTGTATTTCAACCTAACATGAGAACATTTCCATGAAATTTCAACCTTCAAAAGAAAATTTTACATTAACTAAAAAACTAAATGAAGTAAAATTTTCTTCATTTTCTTGGCGAGGAGGAGTTGGTGGGAGTGGCTTACATCAGGAATGACACAATCAAAAGGTGTCCACACAAGCCGAAACTATAATTTACAAGAATGATTGCTACCCTCTTTAAAACAAGACTTAAGAGAAGGGCCACAAGGCAGTGAGATTCAGATTCATTAGATACATGGTCGATTTCAACTAATCAAGTTTATCCCCTTTAAACTAATCACTTGGAATAGTGAGTCCAGCAATACAAAATGTTAAACTCTTTGACTTAGAGATTAAATAATAATAAGCAAAAGAATCAATCCTTCAACAAAAGATAAAATATTAACGCAAAGATGCATTCATTAATCTGTCTCAAGTTAAAGTTGCCACACAAATCCCTTCTTCTTCTCTTCTCTTTTTCTCTTTGGCCACATACACAAAGCCCTTGTTGCTAAATCTAAGTCCTATAATTTCATCATAAGTATTAAATCATAAAAAGCATCCAGGATACCTCCAACATCCTCAGAATTTATTGAATTTCCGCATTTCAATCCCAGAAAAAAAAAAAAAAAAAAAAAAAAAAAAAAAAACAAAAAAAAAAAACTTGACAGGGGACGGATGAGATTGAACCTGAAATCTGCAGATGTAATAGTCGTCCCCATAAACAGCTTTTAGAGATTCAAGTGTCTTCCTCCGAGGGTTTCTAGGCGGGAAAACCACGCTCATGTTGACCAAGGCTTTGACCCGATCCGGCCGGAACAAGCAGAGGTACCAAGCAATCAACGCACCCCAGTCGTGGCCCACCACGAACACCTTGTCCTGGTCGGGGGCTACGGCGTCCAGGAGGGCGATGAGGTCTCCGATCACGTGGAGACACGTGTAGCTCGTGGGCGAATCGGGCGCGTCCGTATCGCCAAAGCCGCGGAGATCCGGCGCCACGGCTCTATAGCCGAGGGAGGCCAGGGCTGTGATCTGGTGGCGCCAGGAGTACCAGAGCTCAGGGAAGCCGTGGATGAAGAGGATGAGTGGGCCCTGGCCTTTCTCGGCTATGTGCATGTTTATGCCATTGACTTGGACTGTTTTGTGCTCTATACCATCCATCTCCATCATGAAATTATCTGTTTCTCTCTGTTTCTCTCTGTTTTTCTCTATGTGGGAGGAACTTATCAGTGATTGCTTAGTGTATGGTTGTATTGTGTGGTATTTATATGTTGATAGAGAATTATAGAGTGGCACAGAAGGGGTGTTTGTTTGCTGAGAAAGAAAGCGAGGAATTTGAAGGTAACAACTCGCCAGAAAGAAAGGTGAACGACGTAGATGAGGCTATCGTTAATTCGTGTCCACTAGAAACCAACAAAGTAAAAACAGAAATTCTTTTTTTCTAAAACCATTTTTGGGTAGGCAATTACAGGTTTTCTAGTTTCGGGAGATTCTCCAATAAGTTAAGAATTAGTTAAATACTTTCAATTTCGGCTGTTGAATTGCATTTAAGAAACTAATAACATATTTAATAAATATAATTTAATTATCGAAATTATAAATATGTAATCAATCATTAACATAAAATATTTATTGAAGAATCTTCTTACAAGTTTTTCCCTATAAAGAGCAGTAGTGCACAAATAAAAATGATATGTTGATATTTTTCATTTTTTGAATTGGATAGACCTCAAATTAATATAATTGAACCAAACAAATTGATCAAGTGATTGATATGGAGGTGTGATGATATCAACTAACCCTTACTCTAGAGGTACTTTAACGATTCAAAATTACACTGTTTTAGTATGAAAACCAAACCAACCTGTTCTAATGGTTTTGGTTTGACTATGGTGTTTTGCCCACGCCAAGAGAGAATTGCAAATTATTCAACACGCTTTATCTTCGTAAAAGCATGGAAACCGTTCCTTTTGTGTCACCTCAAAAGGAAAAGAAAAGAAAAATCATTACTTTGAAATCAAATATAGACGTTATAATTCGATTTAGGAAGTTTCCAAGTATGCCAAATGAGGTTGGCTGCTCTACGTGGCTGTTAATAGCATTAACGAGGTTGGCTTGACCATAGGCGGCTGTGAGGCTGCTGCTGCAATCTCTAGGATTAGGAGCTCAAGACCAGCTGCTATCTACCTACTTCTCCTAGTATATGTTCTTTTTATTTTTATTTTTTTGGTCAAGGGAAACTGTATTCATTAATAATGGGAAACATTGCAAAATGAGGAAAACTCAATCCAAATGCAGCCCAGCAACAAATACAGCAGGCCCAAAGATACAAAGGTAACTAAACAACAAAGCCCATAAAACAATAAACAAAGAAACCCTAGATCTAGAACAGGAACAGCCGCACCACCAAGCAAGCCAACAACACCACAGAGCAAATCCATCACCAGCAAGGACTGCTGCTGCAATCTCCAGGATACAACACATGAAGTTGAAGAATTCCCATCTCAAAATACAAAACACTTTATTAATGAATGCACAAGAAATGCATAACAGAGAGTTTGAAACAGCAGCAGCATACAACATACATAAACATACATATATATATAGAGAGAGAGAGAGACAGCTAATTAGTGAAATTTAACGATGAAGTCATGAATGTGTTTGCTGATTTCATCAGGCTTTTCTTGGTTGATAAAATGGGCGACTCCTTCCATTACAACCACCTCTTCGAGAAGCGGCACATATTTCTTGAACCCACCTTTGTGTATGAAGTCCTTGGCGTCAAGAGAATTATAAACTAGGTCATGGTCTCCCACAATGAACTTAACTGGAACTTTCACTTGAACCTCGGTCCATGCTGCAGTGAGCTCCCAATTTCTGCATTCAAAGCAAACCTTCAGAATATATATTGGACAAACAAGAAAAGCTCTTTCTTGCTAAAATTAGTCTGTGCATATGAAATTCAAGTAAACTAAGTTTAAAGGAAATCACATACAGGTCCAAGTTTCTGTAGTAGTTCAAGCCCCCAGTGAATCCTGTCTTCTCAAATTTGCTGGCATAGTAGTTGACTTCATCCTCAGACAACCAACTCGGCAAGACAATTGGAGCATCTGGGGGATGTCCAAACATTTTATCTTCAGGCAGGAAAAGTGGACCAGGATTGCGATATGTTAGAAATTCCTTCATAACTCTTGCAGTACCAAGTCTGGCAAACTCAGCTTCCATCACTCCTGGCTCCTGTAACATGAGTAGTTTATCTATCACAATCCAGAACTGAAATTTATGCAAGTATATATGTTGCTTCTAAACGTTTACAACATTTCACACTAATTTAATCAATGTGCCTTATTCACAATCTAGCAACACGATCTTTTACGTTACATTCGAATGCTCACTAGTTCAAAATCCTCGAAATACCACTCGTTGGGAACCACTCAATGGGTCATGATGACCCAACAAGTGGTGTATTTCGAAATGTTAATACTGAGTATATGTACCGTAACCCCTCACAGCAATCTAACATGAGAACATTTCCATTAAATTCAAACCCCCAAAAGACAAATTCGCATCAGCTGAAAAACTATATGAACTTCGTTTTCTTGGCGAGGGAGATTTGGTGTTAGGAATGAGGCAATCATAAGGTGTTCACACATAATCTGCTATTAAACTGCTTTCCTTGAACAAGCCGAAACTTTAATTAACAACTAATCAAGATTAAAATATACAAATTTATAAATAAACCCAATCCTAGATATGTATATATAAAAAAACCAAAGCACTATTTAAACATAGAAACACACCCAAAATCAATTCCAAAGTCAACTTTTTGGGTGTATTATAAATGGGTTTTGAGTGTATGTAATGATGGGTTTGGGGTGTGTTTATATGTTTAAATAGTTCTTGGGTTTTTTTATAATTTCAACCCCCATTTTGGTTGTTTTAGTGAAACTCCCATTAAAATAAGACTTAAGATAAGGGCCACACGGCAATGAGATTCGGATTCATTAGATACATGGTCATTTTCAACTAATCAAGATTATCTAAAACATTATCTCCTTTAAACTAATCACCTCGAAAAGTGAGTCCATCAATAGAAAATGTTGTAACCAACTTAAACAAAAAATAAAATGTTTCATTAAAAAAAAAACCAAAAACAATATTCAAATCTCCATCCGGTAGTTTAGATTAATATCGCTTGTATTCAAAAACAAAAAAACAGATTGAAAATTAGTGGGCCACAAAATTTCCAAACAAACAAGTCAGAAAATTTAATAAAAATAAAAACAAAAAAACAGGGGACGGATGAGATTGAACCTGAAATCTGCACATGTAATAGTCATCCCCATAAACAGCTTTCACAGATTCAATGAACTTCCTCTGAGGGTTTCTAGGCATGAAAGCCACGCTCAGGTTGACCAAGGCTTTGACCCGGTCGGGCTGGAACAGGCAGAGTAACCAAGCTAAGTAAGCGCCCCAGTCGTGGCCCACCACGAACACCTTGTCCTGGTCGGGGGCTATGGCATCGAGGAGGCTGATGAGGTCTCCGACCACGTGGAGACAGGTGTAGCTCGTGGGGGAATCGGGGACGTCGGTATCGCCAAAGCCGCGGAGGTCCGGCGCGACGGCTCTGTAGCCGAGGGAGGCGAGGGCTGTGATCTGGTGGCGCCAGGAGTACCAGAGCTCGGGGAAGCCGTGGATGAAGAGGATGAGTGGGCCCTGGCCTTTCTCGGCTATGTGCATGTTTATGCCATTGACTTGGACTGTTCTGTGCTCTACGCCCTCCATCTCCGTCATCAATTCTCTGGTTTATGTTTTATGTTGGTGTTGCATGAGGAGTGTTTGTTGCTGAGAACTGAAAGGATAGAAAGGAAGGTGACGCTATCGTTAATCATGGGTGCACTAGAAAACGACACAGAACAGTCCGAGCCGTTGGGAGGGCGCCGCGTCAGTGATGACGTCAGCAGCAAAAAAAAAAAAAAAAAAAAAAAAAAAAATTCTCAAAAAAACCCAAACTTTTCAGAATTTTTTTTTAATAAATAGCTTGCCATATTCCTCACTTCCCATACTAAAAATCTATACAAATTCATCTCCCTCATATCTCATGTGAATAGTGGTTGTATTTGGGTTGCTATGACAATGGGTGGAAAACCAACAAAAAAAAATTGCTATGGTAGGCACTATTCATGTGAATAGTATCAACCCTTACCTCCCCTTGCCTTTTGCCATAACAAATAGGTGAGGGGACATGGAAATTGGGAACAAAGAAATCATGTCTTGATCTAATGGCCCAGGTCACAGCGCTCATCCTCACACTTGCCAGAGTCGTATTGTGATCTACTACCACATTAGCTGTTCTTGGACACTAAGCCCAGTGTAGCTCCTTAATCTTGCAGAGGAAAGGATATAACTCCCACCGACCTCTTGAAATATGTCTTTGTACTCCACGAATAACCTCTCTACAATCCATCACGAACTGAACCTGGCGGAATTGATGCTTAATAGCAAAGGAACACGCCTCTTCAACACCCATAGCTTCCAATTCCAACGTAGAATTTGCCTTACATGGACACTCCTTGAGTACAATAAAATATCTGAGGTGATCTCTAGCAATTAATTCAATGCCACCTCGTTGTGTTTCAGCATACCAGGATACATCAATATTTATTTTTATTTTCTGGCAGAAGAGGGGCACCAAGTACCAATTCTCAGCTCGGGAGAGACGAAAGACTTTCTAATTGCCACAATGTGAGCTTTTGCCCTTAAAAAATCATAGGTAGCAGAAGAGGATGCAATCGCAGTCATCGCTGGGGATGGAATACAGCCATCCGTGATTGCCTTACAACGCGACTTCCAGATGTTCTAGCAGGTGAAGGCCAAAGAGGATACAATTCGAGCTTTATCCACCTTATCCAACCCATCTTGAAAGAAAATTTCATGAAGCCACCCATTCAATATTGTGATCTCATGTCTGCAAATTCAAATTCAACTAGTTTAGACCTTAAATTAATAATCAAACCAATTTGTTTTGAACGTTTTCCTTCACAACAATTAAGCAAGTTGTTTCCCTATTTTTGGTCAGGTGGGCTGATTGAAAGAGTTTTTGGTCCTTCTTTAATTGAGTGCGAGGCGTGCCACCGCCAAGCCACGAATTAGGCTTGAATGGAATGTGAGTAGATGATGCGTCCGAAATCTAACTTTAATCAAACGATTGTTTGGCCGAGCAAGGAACCTCCTCAGGGCCTAAGTTCTTTCATTACCTCGAAGTCAAGGCTTTATGTGAGCAACCAAATGATGTGGAGTGGGTGGAGATGAAGATTGAAGGAGAAATGTAATGAAACGAAGAACACGTGCATATAGTAAAAGGTGCTTGAATTCAAATATAATTTAAAGATAAGTGCGGAAAGTAAAGTGCGTAAAATAAATGTAAAGACAAGTGCGTAATGTAAATCGCATAAATTAAATAATTGAAATGCGAGTGTGTAAAGTAAAGGGTGGAAAGTAAACTAGATTACGAAGAACAATAAAGATAACATGAATTGAAGTTACTATGATTAACATAGAATTGAAAAACAAGAACAGGAATGTAAAGGCATAATTGAAATCTACGGAAACTAGAGCAGAAAAAATAAGAACTAGGCTATGGCTACATTATGCTACTCCTAGGATAGAAATTGAAGAGAATGTAAAATGACAAGCTGTGTGTTGTGTTGGGGGTCCTTTCTCTCTTCCATAAGCTTAGTATTTATAGGAGCTTCAGTGTGTCTCAATTTGATCGGTTGTCAATTGGCCTTCAAATCAATCATAATTGCTCCAAAATGTCATCAATCCTTTGTCTCATGCATGTGATGTAATGTGAATAATAACATTTGATTTGATTTTCCTTCTATCTTGAGCTCTCCCACAATAACTTCGGTTGACCATCAAGTTGGCATAATTCATTCTATATTTGAATTGTAACATATGAGAAAATCTTCCTAGAGATTATCTCTCTCGTTATTTAAGCATTGGTTGATTTTATGTACTCGGCCGCTTTTAGTCTTTTGACCGTATCTACAATTTCGACCGCATATAGGCTCTCAACCACTTTTATGCTCTCGGCCATATTGATGTGTTCGGCCATATTGGTGTATTTCGCCACATGTAGATATTATGCTATATTTATGATTTTGGGCTTCTATCCGACCTTATTGATTAGGCCCACTGGTTGGGCTCAGTGTTAATTTAATTGTAAGATCTTGGGCTTAACCCGGTCAAATTTCAACCATACCCAAACACAAGTATTTTATAGTCTCTTGCATTTATCAAATAGAACTCATACTGTAAATCGAACAATAGTTTTAAAATAAAAATAACAACTTTTTACCACCAAATATGGAAATTTTTTTTAGAGAGGGTGATGATATCAAATTGGAAATGTTTACGGATTTTAGTTTTTTAGTTTTTAGTTTTTTTTACAAAGGATTTCACTAATAAATCCATTTTAGCATGACATAATATATAAAAGCCCTTATAGAGCCTATTTGGAGTGAAAACCCTAAACTAGCAACTTGTTATTTTCTAATTGGTTCTTATAAAATTCTAGGACATTAAGAACCAATTGGAAAATGACAAGTGGCTAGTTTTGGGTTTTCTCTCCAAATAAGCTCCATATGAATTTTGTATAATATGTCCTGCTAAAATGAGTTTTATTGAATTGAGATTCTTTGGTGGAAGGCAGGCAATATATTATCACGGCTAGATCGATATAAATTATGAACGGATCAGAGGATTGGTGGTTACTTTGATTGGCCCTTTGCGGTTGCTCTGTAAATGGGTTATTGTTGGGGTAGGGGTTAGACAGGGAGAGAAATGGTGGTTTGCTAGACATATTATTCTCATTATTTTAGTTTTAAAATTTATTTTGTTTTTCTAATTTTATTTATAAAAAAACAAATGATTGATTCAGAGTTCAGTTCAGTTAAAAAAAAAAAAAAATAAAACAAAATGAATCAAAGATTACATGAGTTGAGATTTTTTTCTAAGTCATTAGAGCATCTCCAAGGGAGCATGCCAAAATACAAAATATTAAATTTGAATTCCTTTTTCTATGTTAATAATGTAATCCATAAGTTTTATGGAAAATAAAATCTGCAACATGTTACCCGAAAAGGCCTCGACATTTTAGAGTGATGGGGAGGGGATCGGATTCAACTTGGGTAGACCCACCAGGCACCAAGGGCTTCTTTCTTTTTCGGGCTAAAAGCTAAATTGTTTTCCAGAATCATCAGTCCACTAGTGCCTTCCTTGGGGCCTTGTCTTTCCATCTTGATAAAATTACAACAATTATTCTGCTGCAGTTAATTAATGCCTGGCCTGGGCCTTAGGTGTGTATAACAATATGTTTTATTTTAAAATACAACCGATAGTTTATATTAAGAAGAAGAGGATTCTCATATACACACTATGAAGGTGACATAGCAATTTGAACCTGAAATAATCGGTCTACAAATCAATGTCATTTTTCATTGAGTTAGACTGACTCGTCGACTTTCTAACAATATGTTTTAGTTAAAGTGCTCTTGTTTGACTTCCATTATCCATGCAATAGAATGATATAATTAGATTATGTAATTCATTCACCTACTCGGTAATTGAGTTGAGCCACACTTACATATCGATAAGGTATACTCAGATTTTACATGTAGGAACAAAAATATTGGGCCTGTGAGGCCCACTAAAAGGTCAAAAGTTAAAAAGTATAAGCCCACAAACCTGAGGCCGCCCTGCAAAAATGATGTGCTCAGAGTCAGAGGTTCTCTTTTCCTTCCACTCTCAGATTCAACTGACAGACAGTGACAGAGAAACGTTAATATGGATAGCGAAATGACATGGCGCGCAGGTTAAGTTGCCGAGAGAGAGACGAGAGGAGCGGAGGACCAAATGGCACATGAATGTGCTTGGTTGTTTTGTTGCTGCCGCTCCTTAATTTGGAGCCTTGTGCTTTGTTTTTTTTGTCTTCGTGCTTATTTGAAACCGACCCATCCTTGTATCCATTTTTTGTCTGCTCCTTCTACTCGGCAGTTGTGGGCAGTTGGGCATATAAATTATAATGCTCTGCTCACATTAGGCCGTTGAACCCCATCTTCTTGCATTTTGTCGATGAGTAGGCATTGCCTTTTTTTTGCCTGTTTCCCTCCCTTCACATCCCATCCCAAGCAACTGCTTCAATGCTTTCAATATTGTTTGCTTGAGGTGTTTGGTTTGACACAAATCACAATGAAGGAATTACCATTCCACCATTCACATGTATAACTTAGACAACGCTATTTTCGATTCCCAAAAGGACACAATGGAGATTCTAAAATTAGTAGTAAAGAATGTACATTTCATTCCTATAATTCACTTGAGTCAAAAAAGCTTCAAGCTTTAAATTATAGGGCGGGGCTAGAATTTCAAGTTTGGGAGGACAAAAACTCCAAATCCGAATCTCGAATGAGATATCTGGACCCAAATGGTTAACCAAATAGCGGAAGAAAATGGATCCTCGGTACCAAACTTTGACTCTTATTTTCAATCAAACTAGGTAATAAATTATGTTCTTTACTTAATTTCATTCTCATTCTTCCAATTCCTATTCCACTTCATTCCAGAAATCAAAACAATGACTTGTAGATAACGTTTTGGTCCACACTGGCTGGCAATTTAAGCTACCGATTTCACATACATAGATCTTGTGGGAGTGAAATTCAACAATCAAATAAACAAACCCAAATATCAAATGGGATCACATAAGATCCATCAAAGATGTTAATGATCGCACATGATGTTACCCAACAACTAAGGGGGATTATGGAAGATAAAGTATTCAAATATTTTTACTGAAGCAATTGCTCATAAGGGTTAACCCAACTTACACGATATGCAACATAATTGGAGTTATGATGGAAAAACAAAGGGTTTGGTGACAAAGATGAAGAATGGATTGATTGAAAGGGGGCCTATTATAAATTCTTTAACTTATTATCAGAAACATTGAAAAGTGGATGATATAGAAAAGTGATTCTCCATAAAAGTGCTTTTTGGTCTATCTAGATCACTCCCAAACTCACCCTAGATGACTAACAAGAGATCAGTAGAAGGTTGACTTAAGTCAAAGCAGGGTTCATTAGTTTCATAGCTTGAAAAAGTGAGCAACAAACACCAAAAGGAGGATCTAGCTGTCCTCCGAAGGATCAAATTGCCTTTGCAGTTTGCAAAAACAAAAATGGACAAACAAACCCCAATTAACACCCCCCATTTAAGAAGAAGAGCGCTTAGTAAAATATATATGGCTCTCCAAAGACTAACAATATGATTAATCTAATCACTCAAGTAAAATAGTAATCAAGTAACCAAATATATGGGCATGGCAGAGGTAGAGTTCCTCTGTTGCTGCTGCTCCATGTTAAGCTCCCTGAGGCTGAGATAAGGAATGTCCAGCTCACCCCTACTCGCCGGAGACAGAGTTCCGGAGAGGGGTCCCGACGACGGCCTGCTTGTCGTACGGTAAGGCGGGCTCGAGCTACTTCTGCTCTCTGTGATATAGACGGGACCTGAAATTGAGGCCCTGAAGGCATTAGCCCTGGCCTGGTGCACGTCTTCTTCGCTGCGATTGTTGTGGCCATGGTGGTGGTGGGTGATGCATTTGAAGAAAAGCAGAGCGCTTTTCCACCAGCGCTTCTTGGCCTTGTGGGTCTTTTTGGGGTCGTCTTTGGAGATGGGTTTTTGGAGCTTGAAGTGTATGGAGTCTATGGATCTTGTTGTCTCACGTTTGTGTCTTCTTGCTTCTTCCAGGACCTTGATGTTTTTGACAAGAAAAGAAAAGGGTCAGAATCAGATAAAAACTTTTATGCAGAGTAAAAGCATTGAGAGAGAGAGAGAGATAGAAAGAGAGAAATGGTGAAGATTAATGGGACCTGAAAATAGTCGATTTGAGGGTCAAAGCCATAGTCGCTGAAGTGTTGAGGTTGTGGCATCGGAAATATTGGTGACTTGTTAGACATTTTCTGTGTATGTTTGGATGTGTTTCTAAGGAAGGATGAGTTTTTTGGGTTCTGTTTGTGGGAAAGCAGAGCAAAGTGTCGTAAAGATTTGGTTTTTCTTAGCAGCAGAAAATGAAAGAGGGCAAAGGGAGAAGAAAAGAGGAGGAGGGAAGGAAAGTGGGGTGGAGTGAAAAAGTGAGCTTTTGGGGGCTCTAGAGGCGTGTGGGAAGAGTAATGGCCGTTGGGTATTGGTAAGCCCTAGTAAATGCTCTATAAACCTTTCACACTTCCAAGTTTCCAAAAAAAAAACTTTATTTATTAAATATAAATAATTTGAATTATATAAAGCCTTCTCACAAAATGAATTGGTAATTTCATTTGTCATTTCACAAATTAGTTTCTTATGCGACATGTTGTGTCTCTTCAGAGAAAATAGAATTGACTAACATAAGAGTTAATGACTTTTTGCAAGGTACAATGATATTTTTTTAGGATATTTTCTATTAAAAAGGGTGATAATATACTAAACTCACACACACTACACGGATACTAGTACTCGAACTCAGAACCTTTTCTGGGAGAGCAATTAGTCCAAACCACTACACTAATGCATCATTTGCCTACTAATTGAATGGTACAAATTGAATTTGATTTGAACCTTAACCTGTTAATTTCATATTAGATTGAAGTTCTGGCCTGGGCATTGGCCAATGTAAAAAATATCAATTACATGCCGAAAAGCCTGTAAAGAATCCTCTAAATGTAAAGCTAGCTTATCAAGAACAAAGCTGAAAGGCTGAAAGCGCACCAGCGTGGAATCTAAGAGGATCAGAAGCAGTCAGTCAAAATGCATTCAGCTAAAAAAGAAAGAAATGTATTAAGAACAAGTAACAAAGAATAATAATTCAAGTTAGTTTTGCTCTTGGAGATCCATGACTGGTTTAATATACGGAAACCAAATCACGTGACCTCCATACCGTGTTTGCTATTTTAATGTAAAACCAAGCCCACGGGATTTATCTGCGGCATTAAAAATTGTTTATGCAAAAATGGCCAACACCTCAAAGAATGAACAACAAGAACTCACATGCATGTCATGTCATGTGGGGGAGTCAAGATTGTCAAGTAGCTCATGAATCTTTGACTGTTCATGTGCTTTTTTGTACGCATGTACGTGCTTATGGTGGGTGATCAGTTTGCCGCACTTGTTTGGTGGGAGATAAATAGATTGTAAACACCAATTTCTTTTTTTCCATCGTTGCTAATAATGGATAACGACATTTGATTCTCATTAGTTTCTTAATACGAATCTTATTGTCTGAGGTTTTTTTTTCGCTTAAAAAACTACTTCCATACGAGAAAATAAAAGTTAAATTCTTACAGTATGTGGTTATATAATGAGGTATATGTTAAATATACACAATTTGTAATTGAAATCACCTGCAATGGGGAAATATAAACGATTGTAAATTTGCATCACAACTGTAAGATGCAAATTTAGATGCACATGTGCATTCTTCTTTACATTCCTTGCAGGTGGGACCTACAAGATAAAAATTTAGAAAATGTGGAGAAAAGTGAGCAAAATCAATTATACATCTTCCTCATTGGAGCAAAAACCACATTTACAACTCCCAGAGGTATAAAGGGGATGTAAAAGTGGCTTTACGCCCCCAAAAATACACTCCATCACTGTAGATGCTCTTATGATGAATGTGAGAATAAGTGCTCTACTTTCGAAATACGAAGTTAAAACCGTCGCTATACGTTAAAACTCTGTGACATACAGCCCAACAAACAAAAATGCTTATGTTTCATGTTTAGGTTTTCTAAATGGGCTTGAATAGGCCAAGCTCACGCTACCATTCCTTGATTGCTGAAACGGATCCCAACATTCTTTGATCCGATATGGGCCAACCCAGAATAGGAACATTTCTCGGCTAAATTTGCTTTCTTGCTTGCCCTTTTCCCTTATCTTTTGTGTTTTTTAGCATATTTATCTGCATCTCCCTCCCTCCCATCATCTAGTGAGATCTCACATCTCAACCGATATAATCTCAATCCTCAGCAGCATCATCCTTGTCTCTCTCACTATCCAAAAACACAATTTCAACCAATTAGGTTGTCTCATAATCAATTTCTTACAATTACCTTATTTATTATTTTTTTTTTTTTTTTTTTTTTTTTTTTTTAAATCATAAGCTTATCAGCTTGAACTCTCATAACATCATAATAGTGTGTGCGTGAGAAATCTGTTTTCCTTATAATTTAGACTATCTCTTGTATGAAAAAACAAAAATCATATGCTTCTCTTGCGGTGGGAAAACAACATTTTTTCTGTATCCATCCACAACATTAATAAATTAATTAGAAGTTGATTGGATCATAATGATTATGCTATGGAATTGTTGAGCCCAACAGTGGAGAAAGCTCCACATATCTGCAAGACCTAAAAAATACCAGCAGTAATTTTACTAATTAATTAATTAATTTTACGAAATCTTCTTTGGCAACCTTTAGTTAATGGAATTAATGTTGATCTTACGATTGATTCCTTCCAGTGAGAAGGAGATTATGAGATGATATGAGGAGAGAGACAGAGAAACAGAAACAGAAACAGGGGAAGAGAGAGAGAGGGCATGTGAGGGGAGAGACAAAGACAGAGACAGAGACAGAGATTGGGGGTTGTTTATGGAGTTAAGAGTTTAGAGGAGGGTTGCAGTTGGAGATCACACTGGTCCCACGACCATCTATTGGTTACTTCCACAGTTGTTCTTATTAGGAGCGATGGAAGGGCTTGTGGAAGAAGGATTAATTGCGTTTATCGTTGATGGAGTGGATGGTGCTGATGACAAAGTACGTAATGGCATTGCATTATGGATACCAATACCATACCAACTATTTCATCGATGGTAAACTCGAGCCGTCTGGACATACTTAACTCTTGCTACCTATGTGCTGCCGTTTACTTTTGGAACAAGGATAAATTAGAAAATCCTCCACAGGAAGAAGAATACCAGCAGAGCCCTAGAAGCGAAAGTTGTGCCTTGGGCAATTATAAAGAGGAGGTCATGTAAAAAAGTTTTACCATTTCCAATGTGTATTAATTATACTTTTAAGAGAGTAAATTATTTATTTTAAATGCAATCCTAACCATTCATAATCTTTTAATCTAACGGTTGAAAATATGTGTTATAATATGCGTAAAAAATATGTGTTCTACGATCCTGACCCAAAAAATAATAATAGAAGTTACTTTTGCTCTCAATCCCAAGTAAACCTTGTCACCTTATTTCTTGGAGATCCATGACTGGTTTAATATACGGGAACCAAATCACGTGACCTCCATTATCCATACCATTTTTGCTATTTTAATGTATAAATGGAAACCAACCAAATCATCCTCACGTGTACAACGGCATATCTAACAAGTGAAAATAAATTACACTTTTTTTAATTATAAAAAAAGAAAAAAGAAAAGAAAAGAAAAGGTGAAAAGCAAGCCCACGCGGTTCATCTGCAGTATTAAAATTGTTTATGCAAAAATGGCAAACACCTCAAAGAATGAACAAGAAATACTCACATGTCATGTGGGTTGTTAAGTATGGGAGGCCTCATGAATCTTTGACTGCCCATGTAATAGATTCTAAACACCAATTTTTTTTTTTTCCCCATTGTTGCTAATAATGGATAAAAATATTGGATTTTTCATTGATTTCTTAAAACTAATGTTATTGTTCGAGGTTTATAAAAAATAAATAAATAAAAATAAAAAAACTACTTCCATGTGAGAAAGTAAGAGTTAAATTCTTATGATGAATGTGAGAAGGAAAATACTTCCTTCCTTCTCTTGTAAGTAGGAACTCCTATATTCCTGTCAATGACAGTATGACATATGCGTATTAATTTTTCTTTTTGTGTTTTTTATAAATTATTTTGAACATATATCAAACTGTAATTTACAGAAGACAAACAATATCCATGTAAGAATAAGCGTTCCACCATCGAAATTTGAAATTAAAAATCATCGCTATACGTTGGACTCTGTGCCACACATCCCAACAAACAAGAAATGCTTATGTTCCATGTTTGGGTTTTCTAAATGGGCTTGAATATGCAAGCTCACGCTACCATTACTTGGTTGCTGAAAGGCACAAACGGATCCCAACATTCTTTCATGTGATTAGTAACATTTCTTGGGCAAGTTTGCTTTCTTGCTTGCCCTTTTCCCTTATCTTTTGTGTTTTTTTATAGCAAATTTATCTATATCTCCCTCCCATTATCTAGTGAGATCTCGCATTGTATTATAGCTCATAGCACAACCGACTCAACCGATATAATACCAGGTTTTTTTTTGTTTTTTTTGGATGTGGCAAAAGGAAAATTACACAAACCTAGACCCACGAGGTACCCAGACCCGAAAAGGTCAAGATAAAAGGAATTAACAACAGAAAGAGGGAAACTATCGACCCAAAGCTTGGAAGGGGTTAGAGAGTGACCCAAGGAAGCTAAAGCATCAGCAACCGAGTTAGCCTCTCTGAAAGCATGCTGGAATTTAATCAAATTACAAACGGAGGCCAAGTGTGAGACATCTTGGACAAGTTGCATGATACTCCAGGGGCAGAGCATTTCTTGGTCGCAGCATCAATGACGACTTTAGAGTCACATTCAATTATGATATTACGCCATCCATGGTGAACTGCATGAGCTAGACCATCTCTCAGAGCAAGGCATTCAGCCATAGTAATGGAATTGACCCCAATATTTTTAGCTCCAGCGAGAAGGGTGTGGGCGTTGTCATTTTGAATAAAAAAAAGCTTGTGGTAGCAACTCCATTTTTGATTGATCCATCGAAGTTGAGCTTGATCCAACCAGAGGGATGAGGCTTCCATTTGATAGGGGGAACAACCTGTTTGGGTTTCTTGAGCTTGTGATTCGCCTTCCAGTAGTCTAGGTGAATGAGATTGGAAATAGAGAACTCGCGCATGATGAGGTGCCATATCCTTAAAAAATGAGGTTGTTACGAGCATCCCAGATCTGCCTGCGGATAAAGAGACCTTTGCAAAAATCATTAGGACCATGTTGGTTATCAGTAGTGTTTAAAGAAGATAACCAAGCAATGTGATCCCCAACAGTAGGAATAGGAGCTATAAAACCATGGATACAATTCCAAACTGGCTGAGCAAAATTGCAATGCATGAACAAGTGATTAATAGATTCAGGTTGATTCCGAGAGAGTGCAAATTGAAGAGTAATACTGGGAATGAACCTGCTAAGTCTTTGTCTGACTGGCAATTTTGCCATGCAGAAGAAGCCAACCAAACAATTTGATCTTAGGAGGAAGAGTCTGATTCCATAAAACATTAAGCAATTGAGTATTCGGGTGAGGATTAACCTCTTGCATTTGAGTTTTGTAAGCACTTTTCACTGAGAACAAACCATTGGGACTAGGTCCCCAAATCATTTTGTCAGTAATTCTAAAAACAGGAATATGAACTAGCAAGGATATGATTCACATTATCTTGAGAAAGAATAGTCGGTAATGCATCCTTGAGCCAAAAGTTATTAGAAATAAAAGTAGAAACTTTAAGTTGAATACCAATAGAAGTTCTTTGATTTAAGGGGATGAGGTTGATTAGTGGGAAGGGAAAAACAACTCCCATCACCAACCAACTTAATCCCTTCAATAATAGAGGTCTAGTATCAAAGATAGCTTTCCAGGCCAGAGACTGATTGGAGCATTTCTTTTGTTTAATGAAAGATTTAAGCCATAAATAAGTTTTGGTGACAAGTTGAGCCCACCAGTTTTCAGTATCAAGTAGGCACTTTCAGCTAGGCCTGGTTGACGTGAGTCTCCTAATTAATCAAGGAGATTTACTTCCTTGATTAATTAAGGATTTACATTCCTATTTTTTATATAAGTGATAAATTATTGTACAATTAGGAGATACTTTCCTAATTCTTTACTATATCTAATTCCTTGTAAAACTCTCATATGTAAACTCCTATATATACCTCCTTATGGAGAAGAATAAAGAACAACCCAAAATATTCAAACCTAATATTATATTTTGGTATGGTATCAGAGTCAGTTTCTCTTGTGACATGTGCTTGCGTTCTTCTTGAAATTTAAGTGCTCTCCTCCCCTCCTCTTCAAGGGGGGGAGGAGGAGGGAAAATGATATGTTTAATTACGTATCCCCATTACCTTGACGTATTCCCATGAAGATACTGCATATCTCTTTACTCTGACGACCACTTCTCTTCAGGGGAGAAGGGGAGTGAAGAGAAATTGTTTTGTCTCTAAACCCTTATATCAAATTTCTCATATTCAAATCCAAAACCCTAAATCAAATTAATTCCTCATATTTTTCCCCAAATCCAAATCCCTCAAATATAAAGTCTGCAAATCCTCGCTTATCCAAATCCATAAATACATACCCTCAAATCTTATACACATACCTCTTAAATCAAATCCCTACATCAAATGCATACATCAAATTTCTCACTTCACCTTCCTCACCTTCTCATATCACATCTTACTTCCGCTACGATGTCAAGAACCCATACGATTCTCCATCTTATTGCAGACTCATAGAAGCATGCGGTCAATCCTGCTGACCTGGCTACCCAAACTCCTGCTTCTATCACCACCACCAAATGTTCTACTTTTCATACGTGCTCCAAGACCAGATATTGCATATGATGTGAGTGTGGTTAGTCAATTTATACATTCGCCCAATGTTTCTCATAGGAATGCAGTTGATCGGATCTTAAGATACTTAAAGTTAGCCATTGGGAAAAGATTAATGTTCTCCAAAAATGGAGATATTGAAGTTGTTGGATACACAGATGTTGATTAGGCTGATTCTATTACAGATAGACGCTCTACTTCAGGTTACTTTATATTTGTGGGAGGTAGCCTAGTCACTTAGCGGAGTAAAAAGCAAAATACGGTTTCTCGATCTAGTGTAGAAGTAGAGTATCGAAGAATGGCTCACGGAGTTTGTGAATTATTGTGAATCAGAAGATCAACTGGCAAATATCTTAACCAAAGCTGTTTGTGGAAGAGTATTTCATGACTCACTTACCAAGTTGGGCGCTGGTGACATATATGCACCAACTTGAGGAGGAGTGTTGACGTGAGTCTCCTAATTAATTAAGGAGATTTACTTCCTTGATTAATTAAGGATTTACTTTCCTATTTTTTATATAAGTGAAAAATCATTGTACAATTAGGATATACTTTCCTAATTCTTTACTATATCTAATTCCTTGTAAAACCCTCATATGTAAACTCCTATATATACCTCCTTATGGAGAAGAATAAAGGACAACCCAAAATATTCAAACCTAATATCATATTTTAGCAGGCCTCATCACTTGGCCCACGGGCTCATGGGTTGATGAGGCCCGCCCGGCCCCTCGAGAAATAGCCAGACCTTACCTATTATGGGCTTTGGGATGGCTCAGCTAACATTGGACTAGGTTGGGCTTGAGCTTGGGTGTATGAAGCCTAGCTCGACTCATAGGCCCGGCTCGATTAAGCCCAAAAAAGCCCGGCCTAACCCGTCCACAAAAGCCTGGTCCGTTAGGCCCGCATACATATATAATTATGTATAAATAAGGATTTAGGATTAGGATTATATCACTTGAATCAAACCCCACCCCCCCCCCCCCCCCTCCCTTATTTGTGTGTGTGTGTGTGTGTTACTTGTTTGAAACATTGTGTTTGTTTCCACTGAATTCTGCTCAATTTTGTATCCTTTTTTACATTTGGTCCACATTGTGTTCTTCATTTTTCTGAGCTAAATCCAACCATATAAAAAACACTAAATTTTCATAAACGGTTGAAAAGTTATAGGTCAAAAACTGGACAGATGTCGAAACTGAAAAACAGAGGAAGTTCATAATTCGTCTCTGCCTAAAACATGATAAACTGGTGCTAACATGGTGACACGGTGACGATACAGTGGTGATAAAGGGGTGATAGAAATTGTTGTTTGTGTTTATTTTGGATTTCTTGTTTTGTTTCATTTCATGTACTTTTATTTACTCATTCCTAGTTTATAATTGGATGATTAGCACATTAATTTGTGTCAATTATTAATACAACAATTATATACATCAAGAATAAGACGAACAACATATCATTATCACCAAACATAACCATATCACCAAACATAATATACCACCAAATATAATCATGCTTTTCTTGAACCCATCACCAGGCATTTGCATATTTATTCATATCATCATTTTAAAAAATAATAATATTTTTTTGATACTTATTATTTTTTAAAATTATTTCTTAAAATGTGTTACGGTCTAATTATAATGCAGTTGAGTGCCTCTTTTTGAATGACACATTGTTTCTTTCTCCTCCTCTTCTTCTTCTTTTCAAATGAAGTAGGCCCATTTTAGCCCGCCCTGACCCGTTGGGTTTAGTTCGATCCAGCCCGATGGGCTTTCTCAAGCCCAACCCATGAGTCGGACTTGGGCTTTGAATTTTCTAAAAAAACGCAGCCCAACTCAACCCGTTATTTTCTCTCTCCTCTTTGAAGCCCGACCCAGACTAATATAATACTAGTTGGGTTGTCTTATAATCAATTTCTTCCAATTACCCTATTTATTAATATTACTTTTTGTAAGTTTTAAAATCATATGCTTCTTAGTTCGAACTCTCGTAATACTGTAATAATGTGTGTGTATGAGAAGTCTCTTCTCTTATAATTTAGACTATCGCTTATACTTAAAAAAATAATAATCATCGTATGCTTCTCTTGCGGTGGGGAAACAACATTTTTTCTGTATCCATCTACAACATTAATAAATTAATTCCTGTCCAACCATCTTTCTATAAGAGAAGGAGGAGAAGATAAAAAAATAATAATCATATCGGAGCATGATTGATATGATCACATAAAACTACTATAAAACCAATAAACCAAAATTTGAAACACATGAATATTGGAGCATGATTGTCATTTTGTCAAAGGGAGGGAAAAACTGAGAAGCAGCCAACCAGTTGGACATGGAAATTTGGCAAGTGAAACAAGGGCAAGCAAGTCATTTCATTGGATTCCGCGTCAACCTCGGTAGGCGACTGTTAGAAACCGCGGGCTTCCTCTTTCCTCTCTCCTCTTTCTTCTTTTTATTGAGTAGAGAGACTCGAGTTGTAATGTAAGTAAGAAAAAGCAGCAGCAGCAGTAAATTCAGCCCTGAAATTATCAAGAACCTTCCTCGCTTCCTCCCACTTGCCCTCCCCCTCCCCCCTCTTTATTAATATTCTCGTATATCAGAACCTTTCCATAGATTCCCCCATCTCTCTCTCTCTCTCTCTGACCAAAAATCAAACACCATGGCTTTTACTACAGTCGGGGACCACCACCCAGACCCCGATCAGCAAGACCCCTTACCACCCCAAACCTACAACAAGGGCTACGCCGTCAGCGGCAAGATCATGCTCAGTGCCATCATCATCCTCTTCTTCGTCGTCATCCTCATGGTCTGCCTCCACCTCTACGCTCGCTGGTACCTCCTCCGCGCCCGCCGCCGCCATCTCCGTCGCAACCGCCGCAATCGCCGAACCCACATCATGTTTCACGAGGACCCATACGCCGCTACCCTTTCTACCCCCACACGCGGCCTCGACGCCTCCATCCTCAACTCCCTCCCCGTCTTCGTCTACTCCTCTAAATCGACTGAAACAACGCAGTTTCGTGAGCAGCCGATTTTGGAGTGCGCCGTCTGCTTGTCCGAGTTCGAGGACGGCGAGAAGGGCCGATTGCTTCCGAAATGTAAGCACAGCTTCCACATCGAGTGTATTGACATGTGGTTCCACTCTCACTCGACGTGCCCCCTTTGTCGGGCCCCGGTGGAACCGGGTCCGGAGTCGGAAACCAGGGCCGACGTGGTTTTGAATGTTTGCGAACTGGAAGGGGGTGAACCGGGTCCGAGTTCGGAGCTGTGCTCCGAGTGTTGTAATTCCGAAACTACGTCGTCGGGCTCGCGGATAAAACCGCTGGACATCGTGGTTCCGAGAAGGAACGAGAGTTTTGGGAGGGGGGAGGACTCGGGCCGCGGTGACTCGCCGGCGTTCAGGTCACCGATGAGTCGGATGCTGTCGTTTACGAGAATGCTCAGCAGAGACAGACGAAACGGCGGCGTTTCTCCATCGGGAGGGAACGCGGGCGGTTGTAGTTCGGTGGCCGAGTCGGAGGATATCGAGGTCGGTGGACGACGAGAGACTCGGAAAGAGTAGTGATGGTGACGTGGCGGTAATTTTATGTTGTTTTATTGGGCAGCGACATCCGGCGACTTATCAGTCAATGTATACGTGGCAGCATTGTAGCAGCACTGGATTTATCGCTGTTTTTGTAGCTGTATATACTTGGTCGTCTTCATTTCATTGATATGTTTTTTCTTTCTAATATTTTCTGGTTTTGTCGTGTTTTATATATATATGATTTATATTGGTACGAAACCTTAGAATGAAAGGAGAATTTTTGGGCGTTTGATTGAATTCCAAATGGCTGTGTTCACTGGTTGCCAAAAAATGCATCTGCATGAAGACAGAATATTTACAAATCGGACAGAAAATTTGGCTATTTTCGTTAGGATATTTTAGAATCCAAGGCTAATTAATCTTCTTCAAAATCTTAGTTGGAGAAACGATTTGAAATACTAAAATGAAACTCGTGTGTAAGTTCGTAGTCTTCTAATTTGAAATACTAAAATAAAATTCGTGTATAAGTTTATGGAACATTACGGCTTTCCATTTTGGGATTGAATTAGAAATAAGAGTTGGCTCACTTCTTGTGTTGCCGTGGGAGGGTACAATGGTCGGTTTGCATAAAAGCTTTTGGTCAGTCATTTCCGCTAGCCCTTAATTTTAAGGAGTCAAGTTTTTAATTTAAGGAGCTCGTAAAATGATTGAACTCATTTCATTAAATTCAAGATTCACTATTATACCCAATATAGGAGCTCAAATTATAAAAATACCCCATATGAAATAGACTTTAGAAATACACTTAAAGTCCATTTACAACATAACAAAAAGGCTTTTAATTTCTTGTAAATTACGAAACTGCCATCAATTTCTTAAAACAAGCCCAACCCCAAAATCTCATAAAAATACTCAAAACACTTAATATGCATCAAAGTAATTTAATAATCAATATTAAATTCAATAAGGCCGGCTGTCATTTTTTGGTTTTTTTTTATATATTTGTTTATAGAAATTCAATAGTGTATTATTTATTTATAATATTAGTGCTAAGAATGAGTATATCATTAAATATCTCTTAATAAATTGTTTGTTGACGAAGTGAAATATCTTTTTACAAAAAGAAATCAAAGCGAAAATCATTAAGTCTTGGTAGCCAATGAAAAACAAATAATAATAGAAAAAAACAAAGATAGGTTTGCCAGGCCGCCATCACCAAGCGGCTGCTAGCCTGCAGCCTGCACGACCATATTTTAGGTTTTTGCTTGAATAACCTTTTCTGTTGTTTTCTTCTTTGACCATATTTGATGTGAGCATTGTAATTGAATTTCGTGACGAATCAAAACATCCTTCATTTTCCATGTTATTTACTGTGACATCTTTTTATATAATAATTTCAAAACGAAACAATTCAAAGATCGTTCATAAGGAAAATACCATTCAATCTTAAACAGCATTGATTGGTGGTCCAAGATTCATTGACAAGTTTTCCTTCCGTTGGACACTTGCCACCAAATTGCCTCAGTCCCAATCAACCAACATCAGCACAAAATTGAAATAAAAATTTTGCTTCTTGAAAAAAAAGAAAAAAGAAAAACCCATCCCCAATCCAAGGAGTTCCCAAGAAGGAAAAAAACAAAAGGAGTAATAGGTACCGTCGTCTATTTTTGACTCCAAATGCCTTAAAAACTGGTGGTCGCACTTGATCAGTGGGTCTCCAAAGAAAAAGAATTCGAATTTGAGTGCAAAGTAATGGGACGCTGTTCAAACTAACCTACTTAATCATGCATTTGCAGTGACGGTGTGATGTTGACTTGGATCAAATAATCTGATGAGGAGTCAAATCAAAGACCATTAAGTCCAATTGAATGGTTTAAATAAGATGAGTGGGCACTAAGCTTTTACTTGAAGATGAGAAGTTGGTATTGGTGTACAGATTACTAATACCACACGTAGTTGTGGAAAAAACCAAACCAGATTACTTACTACATCACATTCCATTTAGTCACCTTACCACGTTATATAGGAATCCTATTTCTTGCTAGCCAACCTCAATAACAGGGACTTTCTTTGACTAATTTTAAGGGGTTGCTTGGTGTAATTAAATTTAGATCAATAGATCTTGTGAATATCAGACGTATACCTAAAGTTGGAAATCTGGGCCAGTTAAGCAATGCCATGACAAATGAATCTGAACACTACCAGCCATACGATTCCTTCGGGGACACCAAAAAGCTATGTTCTTTTGACTTTGTCAGCAAGACACCAAAATAAGGAAAAATGGTCGAGGTGGACTTCAATTATGGATGATCGGGGCTTCTTTTCGGAAACTACAGCAATTATTGATTTTGCAATTCGGCATCAAGACAAGATAGTTTCCCTATTGATAATGATACATTGGGTTACAAAGGTCTCCTTACTAATGTGTACATTCAATAATAACGTTAAAAGGATATTACAGGTTGCTACCACTCACTGTTAGTAAACTACAATGGCAGCTACAGGGGTCACTCCCGAAGTTGATTTGAGCCATCCAGCAATGTGTTGAATGGCCTGAATTATAAGAGTTAACTTGCTAACGACATACGTGTCACCCAGCAGAATGTAGGTCAACTGGTTCGACAAATCGGGACTTTCTTCTCCTCTTGGGTTCAGGAGAGCACCGTATGCCACTAACCTTTCCAAGTTTCACTGGTGACTTTCCGTTTATTTGAGAAGATGCCTCTGTTGATTTATGTACCTTAGAAGATGACTTCACTGTGGGAGATTTTGCAGTCCCGGTGTTGTCTTTGTCAACTTTTCCACATGCTTTGCTCAATGGAGACTTAACTCTCTTTCTTGACAACCGAAATCCAGCATCCTCTCTTCTCTTGTCATGCTTAAGGAGCCGAACATGGAAGGGATTCACAGCTGTGTAACAAACAGACTCACCATCAACCCCACTCCTGTCCAACTCAACGTTTCCATTGTTTACCTGAAAATTTAATATTAAATAGGAATTCAGTTGTCACTATAACACCCAGAAAGCAAGCAGTAAGCTCGTTTTATAAATAAATTATCTAAACCCTGTATGATGTTCCACATACTCCTTTAAGACAGAACAAAAGCAAACTGGTGCTTAGTCTTTTCTATTTTGTTGGTACATTGAGGCTCAAGGAAAAAGACTGAGCTAATACAGATAGGGATAGGGGTCTAGCAACCCAACTAAATCAAAGCAAACAGGTGATTATAATATACAAGAGAAATACCAGTTGCAGGAGTGCAGAAAAACTCCGAGCCACATCATACTTTTCCTGACCTTTTACAACATCCGCGAAAGACAAGACATCTACATTGTCTGGTTCAAAGGATATTCTGTCGAGAATTCTTTCGCCGTAGTCATGAATATCAAAAGCAGGGTGTAATTCCTATGTAAAACATATCATTGATTTAACATGAACCAGTAGACGAAAAACAAGAAGAAAGCAGCTAATACAACTAGTGACTGTTCTGATTTTTTATTTTTTTGGTGAAAGTTTTGACAAAGCAAGGAAGCAAAACAGATGGAACCTACTTGCTCTTCCAAGTTGTGCTCAATTTTCTGTTTCCATGTTGAAACACGCGTAGCCAATTCAGTTTGTTTCTCGGTTTCAGCTATGCTAGCAAGGAGAGCGTCCTGCATAAAGAAACATTGGCAGGCAACCAAAAAAATTGCAGGTAATTACCAAGTTATAGAAACTAAAAAATTTAGCCAAAAAGGGGAAAGAAAAATGAAAAATATAAAATGAGAAGAAACACCAAATTGCCAGCAAAGAAATATGGAACTGGCTCTTTCTTCCATGACCTAATCATCTGAAATGCCTTAAAACTCATTGATGTGTCTTCTAAGGGACATTTTTTTTTCACAGTATATACTTACTAAGTGAGAGCGACATAAATCTTCCAGGCATGCATGAGGATTTGAATTGTCGTATCCAAATGCTTCATCAGTACCAAACTGTGGACCACCATCGTCAAACTGTAGAATATCACTACATAAGCAATTTAAAAATGTTCCCAGTTGATTTTGAGTCATGCAATAATCAATTAGTTGCTCAGTCTTACCTTGTCCTTGTATGGAGGTACATTTTCATCCATGAACAAAGGTTCCGGCATGTCAGCATCCGTATGCCCAAAATCAGGGATCTCATTATCATATTCAGTATCCTCATTTGCACCCATAGGATTGCAGAAGGCATCAAAGGTTTCATGTCTTCCATTAATAAGTGATTCCCGCAGCTGCAATTAAGAAAGCAGGTTCACTAAGAAACAAAAAAGACAATTTTCTAAATAAACCTATGCAACACAAACCTTTTCAAATAATGGAGGAGACTGGGACCCCTTTTGTCTTTCATCGGCACGACGTTGCATCTCCCACATTTCGGTAAGCTCTGGACTAATAGTACCATGCAACTTTGCAGGTGGAAATAGTGTAATCATAGAGACCTGCTTAGTAGAACTAACCCCTTTCCTGTTAGAAGCTTTGACTGCTAGAGGAAAACACAACGAAACAGAAGCATGGCATAAGGTACTTAAAATATTATAAGTGTAACTTAGCAAGCGAAAGAAACAAACACTTGAAAACAACCTTTTCTAAAAGGTTTCACTTTCAAGTTCCCAGGTTCATGGGGATTCAAAGGCTTCCATGGATCATCTTCATCATCTTCATCATCCAAGTCCCTGGGCTCTGAATATCTGTCATCCATATCAAATCCATGATCACCATCATCAAAATCATTGCTGGCAGGAGGGTCGGGTCCAATATTACAATTTTTGGCCTCAAAGCTGCAACCAACCCCAGGGGTTTGATTAACATTAGGATCCTGGCATTTATGGAGAGATGACCTACGCGCAGTTCCACCTGAACGTCTTGTAGGTGACTGATAACTTTTTTGTGTTGAGGTGGCCCTATAAGCACTATTTTGTCCTTTACCAGCTCCATCTGCACTCAAATAATCATGCACTGCTACTGCATCGCATGGATCTAATAAAATGAAATCCTGGTAGAGATCATTGGTGGCCAGCTGCAAATACAATTTTTATGACCAAACCAATTAGATACATATATTTAGAAAATGACCCCAAAAAAAATTATTGAATGGAAGAAACTATGGTACCAGATATGACTCTAATTCTCCGAAATCACCAGTAGTATCTAAGCAATCACCTTCAAGTACAACTAGATTTGCTGGGGGCTTCACAAAGGAATTTAAAGGAGCATCTCTGCCCACTGGACTATCTAAACAATTCTTTCCTTCCACTGCAAGAAAAATTGATATCAGTGGGTGATTGCAGCACAATACCCCCATAATGAAATAAACAGTAATGGCTACCTGAGATGTCATCTAAGCCCCAGAACATATCATTTTCTTCATCAGAAACAGCACGGGAACTTTCACCTTCTTCAGGCCGAACTGATGTGCCTTCAGATTGTTCATGCTGCCTATTTAAAAGTGACAGTAAAACAATAAAAATAACAAGAGATATATATATTTATAAGCATATTTTATTGTGTAACGTAGTTCACTTATGCCCAAATTGATGAGTCATTATCATCATCATCACAATCATTATGTTTTCCTAGGAGTCAAAACTTTAGACATAACACATACTCTCAACACAAAATTAATGAATTAGCTTGATTATTACAAGACACAACACAACTTGATTGCCACCCCTATCTTTTCCTTTGTTCCAAATACATAAGGTCAGCCATGTGAATGTCTTCAATTCCTTTCTCTTATATCCAGTGTCTCCTGTAATATATATTTTTCATATTGCTCCTTCCCATGTTAGTCCTATTCAGCCCCTTGTTCATTTTTACCTTCTACTTTAACTTGCCTTCTTTGGCTATAGGTGAATCTAGTGACCTACTTATATTTTCTCAGAGCACCCAAACCAACTTCTCTTCTCTTATCGCAAAGAGATGTGACTCCCAATCTTTATCCAACGAATTCATTTTTGAAAAGTTGATGAGATATGATAATCAACCATATTGAACTACTTAGCCAAGTTTAAAGTATAGATTTCAGAACCTTGAGACCATTATTAACTCAAACACTTCAAAAGCAAGCTAGCAACTTAGGACAGAAGTCAAGCGAGGCAGCAACTAGTTGGCAACTAATATCTATCGGTCTAAGTTATAGTAAAGGGAACTTCAACAGAAATGATTTCGTTATGAAAAATGAATACACCCACAAACACATATTTGGTTGCATATAGACATAAAGTACAAATCTTTATTAACTTTTGGAAAAATAACAACACCCACAAAGTATAAAAAATAATAATTTTAAATAAATTTACAATAAATTCCCAAAATAAATTATTAAGGAGAGAAAGATAAACCAACCCCTTCTGTGAAAGGAACTCCAAAGCACGCAAAACTAACGAGTACAGATATTCCACCTTCCGACTATACACTTGGATCGAACCCTGAAGCAACAGCGCAGCTACATCCAACCACAATTATAACAAACAATTCCCCCAAAAAAAAACTAAACCAGTAGTTTCAAATAAAAGTAATACCTTCGGCGAAATTAATAGCGACATGGCCTTCGGCTTCGGTGGGTATTTCACCGGAGCAAATCTTCAGCAAATACTCTTCGAGTTTTTGTCCGAGGTCGAGTTCCCAATTGGATTCTAGGTCACGCTCTGCCTGCAATCTATGAAATCCGCCCCCGCCACCATCATTTCCACTTCCGCTCGGTTCGCCTCTGGCGTTAGTCATCTTCTGTAAGTTGAATTGAGAATTGGCGCATTGTGTAGGTGCTGGAGTCACATTTGGTGAAGTCTAGGGTTTTCAATTTAGAGATTCCAGAAAGTGATAATTTTTCAATGTTACCGGAAACTTGAACTGGCAGTGTGTGAAACACTGAAAGTCAAAGACTTTCACTCAGTCTGCAATTCGTGAGCTTGGTTTGGGCAGCGAGAGACAGAGATAAAGCAAGAACAGGGCGAGAGAGAGAGAGAGAGAGAGAGAGAGAGAGAGAGAGAGAGAGTGTGTGTGTGTTTCAAAATAATTTCGATGGCCGTTTTCCCGCTTTTTTTTTGTAATGTGTATTTTTTTTTTTGGTTGTGTATTTGGGGATCTGACTTTGCCACTTTTTGTTGGTTGCAATATTGAAAAATGGAAATTCCAACACATGAGTTCAGGTGAAGGGTAAACTACTCGAAATCACTTAAGCTACAACTTACAAAACCCTTATGCATTGATATATAAATGTGAGCAACTAAATCACATTTACATCTTCGTTTACATTTTTTAAGAATAAATTTGACAAAAACATCATAAGGTGCCACTAAAAAGTTAAAGTATGGCATCTTTCATATCATAAGTCTCAGGTTTGAATCCCCACTATATTTTGATTGTGTGTGTGAGAAACCCCCTCCCCACTATAGCTTGTATTAAAATAAAATAAAAAGTATGGCACTACTTTTTGTTCCAATGACATAATTACTCAAGTTATATACATGAAAATTAAAGTACAACATGATGAAATCGTGAAATGATAGTTGCTTATAAGGGTCAATAATATTATTTGGTCAATAATATTATTTGTACCACAACCCCCCCACCCCCAAATTTTTTTTTTATTTAACCCCTTTGAATGTATATATTGGATGTGGTAACAAATTCAAATAAAAATTGCTATACTTAAGCCTATGGCCCCCTCACCACAAATCAATACTTACCAAAATTGTACTTCAATAATATGAACATAATAGTAAAATCATACTACATTTATGAAAGAAAACCACTCATTTCAATTTAGTGCTTTTGTAGGCAATAGTTTACTCAATAGGCCAAAAAAAAATCTACAACTAAACTTTTTGTGTTTAACCCTCAAATATAAAATCCTAGCTCCACCTTGAATGTAAATGAGACCCATCTATATTCAATGGCGGAGCCACCTAAGGACCAAAAGTGGCCTATGCCCCTCTCATATATATTTATTTATTTATCTGATTTTTACTTATATGTGTATATAAATGTTGTGTTTTTTTTTTAGTGCCTCTCAAGCTAGTGAAATTGTTGGATGACGACCACCAATGTCCTAGAACTCTTTCTATACATTTTGTTTAGTTATTTTCCCTTTTCTATATGTTCAGGCTTGTAAAATAGAAATTCAAGAGAACGTTTTTATGCAAATTAACATAACAAAATCTTCAACAATTCTCTTAGTGTTCCGATTTTATACTAAGTCTTCTTTCATATGACCTAACATGCTCCTTTGACATGAATTTCTGGCTTCATCATTGTCTATAATAAAGAGGTGGTTTGCAATGTGATTAATAAATGTGATACAAATAGCAACACTCATAGATAATAATGCAATTTTTAAATCTAAATATGTTCCTCACTTATTGGTGAACTCAAACCATAATAAACAAAAGCACTTCTAAATTGGTGAAAGCGCTTCTGTCTTAAAAAAATGGTGTTTGGCAAAAATTGCAAAAGCGCTTTGGGTGAGATCTAAAAGCACTTGGAGTGGTTTTGGAAGAAGCACTTGGAGTGGTTTTGGAAGAAGCACTTGAGAGGTGCTTCTTCTTAAAAGCGCTGCAGGATAAAAACAAGGGAAGCACTTGCCTCTTTTTAATGAAACTTTTAAAATGCCGAAAATACCCATATTTAATTTTTTAAATGCCAAAATACCCTTCATTTCTTTCTTTTTTTTTCCTCTTTTTTATATATTTATATTTCCTATATTTATTATAATATTTTGAGATTCTTTACATTTTTTAAAGTGCTTTTAAAAGCGCTTTTACTGTGTCAGCCAAACACTCAACAAAATATCAAAAGCACTTTTATATAGTGTAAAAACACTTTTAAATGTGATATCCAAACAACAAACTACTTATTTGTAGAAGCGCTTATGTCATAAGTGCTTCAAGAAGAAGCACTCTTAAACGAGCCTTAAGAAACAAAGATCAGAAAGGAAAAATTAGAAGAATTGAGTGTATTATTTCTTCTCATAAAATCTATTTATAGGCTCTCGGATGACCATTGATTTAACATCTATGGCCTCCTAGTTTCCATACAACAAAACTCTTTTATACACACAATTAAACGCATAAGGCCCCAACGTTGAAGTATTAAAAATATAAAAGAGGCCACTAACTGTTTGTCTAAGGTCCCGTTTAGTTCATAGGAAAGGAGGTTTGGGGATGAGAAATCAATTGTTTTCCCATGTTTGGTAAGTCTAGGCATGAGAAATGATTGCCTGACACATGGGAAAGTAGGGGGGAGGGAAGTAAAACCCTCCTCTCAACTTGGGTTTTTGTTTTCCCTCCACATTGGAAAGTTTGAGAAAATGAGCAAATATTCGATGCACATTTTTCATGACCATTTTGTCCCCATGAATAATTTAGAATTACAATGTATCATTAAATGTATTTTTTTATTTGATTTAATATGGGTATAATTGGAAAATTATACAAACTTTGATTTCCATTTATACTCAAAACAAACATGAGAAATGAAACAAAGTGAAATCTCCCAGTTATTTTCCTGACATTACCAAATGTGAAAAATGAATCTTTCATTTCCCATTTCTTGGGAAATGACATGAGAAATGATTTCCTCTTAAATCCATTCCGTGAACCAAACGAGGCCTAAATGCCTAAACAGAAACCATGCCAGCAACGTAAGGCACTCCGCTGGGCTTTATCCACCTATCACCCTCCATGAGCCTACCGGCGGTGAAATCCACGGCGTGTTCAGGAGTAAGCTTCTTGATGCCGGACCATGTGACCCTCCGTGTCATGTCCGAGCCGGGCCCTCTGTTGCCGTACTCACCAAACCAGCAACTTTTGTGATTCGTCGAGCCTGTCCACTCCATCCACCCTTCCGGAGTGATGATGTCATCAATCTGCGATTGCATGACGATGGTCCTGGCGAGGGCCTTCCAAGGCCTGCCCAGGTACGCCTTGCTCTTGTCTTTGACAGGAATGTACTCCGAATCCCCGGAGATGGTGCAGTTTTGGAGGACCATGGCCGTGGGCTGGCGCCTGTCCATCCTTCCTTGGGCTGTCACCATGCAAGCCTGGTTGTCCATCGGCTTCCTCACTATCATCTTGCAGTTTTGGAACACCACAGCCGCATCGCCGAAGATGAAGTCGATGGTGCCGCTGATGGTGCAGTCACGGTAGAATTGCCGGTGGGTTTGGGTGTAGAGGGTGTCTTGGTAGCCGTCCATTTGGCAGTTGTAGAAGATGGACAAGTCGGATTGCACCCGCAGAGCCACGGCTTGGTGCCCTTTGGCTCCTGCTGAGTTCTCAAACCCGATGTCCTTGGCAACGAAATAGTCCCCAACTACAGCTGATATTGTTAACTCGTTAGCAATTTAGCATTGTCACACTTCAAAATGTTAAATATTAATATGCCAGAGTCATATTAATATCATAAATCATATATAGCTTGTTAATATAATGTTCATGTAATTTCTGTCCTTTCCAATGTGCGTAACTGTCATAATTCTAATTATTTCCTATAGCATGTCATGTCATATATATAATTTTTAAAAAACTTAATAATTAGGACTTACCAACTGTTGCAGTCTGAAAAGTTTTCGTTCCGTCAGCGTAGTTTTTGTTACCGGTGATCTTGGTCTTAGTTGGGCCATCCCCAATCATCATGACATTTGTCATAAACTTGTCAATCATGACATACTCATTGTACACTCCCTCCTTCACATAAATCACAAACGTCTTATCGGCGTTGTTCTTGGGTATTTGCTTCACAGCTTCCCCAATACTCTTGACCTGCCCGCTCCCGTCCTTCGCCACCGTCACGTCCGGCTTAAGCGACTGCGGGGTCGCCCTTGCCACGTCCATCGTGCGCTTGTCTATCCACACAGGAATAATCTTCGGAGTGTTCTTCTTTGTGCCGCCTCCGGCCCCGGCTGCCAGCAAACGACGTTGGCTTTGTTTCACATTGAAGCTGCCCAACACACTAGTGATTTCAGACACCATGGCAAGCCCATTGCTGGTGAGTTCCTGCGTGGAGTTCAACAAACGCTTCATCTTCTCACCGGCGTCGCCTGTTGTGTTCTGAAACCCGTCCAAGCAAGTCTGCTCGTACGTCATGGCGGCGCTGAGCCAGATCTTGAGATCTTCAGCGTAAGCGTCGATCTTGGAGATATCAAAAGGACCCAGCTTGTCGAAAGAAGCAGCGAGGTCGCCAATGGCGTAGTCCAAGAGCTCCTTGCAATTCTCAAGGGCTTGGTTTGCGCCGGGGTCCTTGGCAAGCTCTTGCAATGTAGTTGAGTTTTTTATGACCTCGTGGAGTTTGTCCATGGCGACCTTGAACCCGGCCTTGATAAGCTCTTTTGGTTCGGTGCTGTTGACCCCAGCAGATTCCAGGCTCTTCTGGCAGGTTTCCTTGTAATCCGTCGGCTGGCAAATGGCCTGAATCGCCTTTGTCGACGTGGTGGTCTGGCCATCGTTGGATTTCGAACCTCCTTTGCTCCATGACGTGGTGACCCCGACCGTGACGGCGATCACCATGGCTACTAGAAACAAGGAGGAGACGGCGATAATGGCGATCTTCTTCTTCTTATTGTTATCGCCGGTCATGTTGAGGAAATCAAATTTTGCAGCTCTTTGATAATGGAATTGATTTTCACGTAAGGTATATCTTTTTTTTTATAGCAGATGGGAGTTTATTTTTGTTTTTTTTGATAGCGGCAGGTAATTCGGTTAGGAAACCTGGGGTGGGAGAGAGTCCCTAGACGCGACAAAATCAGGGGTCCATAATGATCTCTAAATTTGGAGGCCTCCAAATTAATTAAGCTAAATGTAGAAACTTACGAATGGATAATGGATATAGAGATATATGCTTTAGAGTGGCTAGCTCCTTCAATCGTGGACTACCAATGACTATTGGAAATGTTATATATATCTTACGGAATTGTGAAATTACTAATTAAATTAAAGCTTTGTTGTTTAATGGCTTTGTATTATTAATTCTCTAATCTTATTTTTATGCTTAGAATTCTTTGTATGTTGACAGCTTCCATTATAATCTAGCTATTTATGGTTAATATAATGTATATTTAATAGATTATATGCAATTTGATATGTTATATTCTCAAAAATGGGAGACTCGAACATAATTTTTCTACTGTATATTAAGTACCTTTTTTTTTTGGTTGTAGACTTCTGTTTAAGGTTTTAAAAGTGGATTTTAAGGTATTTCCATGCAAGATGGGAATGGAAAATAAAAAAAAGGAATCACATTACTCTTTTGGTTGAATGTATTTGTTATATAGTAACTTACCGTTGGATGTAATGCTTAAGTTGAAATTTGACTTATATAATTATAAGATTCTTAGATGATCTTTTTTCTTATTGTATTTTGTTTAAATAAAAAAATAATAGAAAAAAGGGAATGTCTAGGCTGGGCTTGCCCTAGTGCAAGACTTTGAAAACAAGAGATTTCGTGCAAATTTTTAGGTCACTCATCCAAAAATTAACCCAATCCACCCTATTCCAACAAAAATGAGCCTAACCACTCTTTGCATGTTCATTCGCGTGGGGAAGTCGGGAATTGGAATAATTCCAATACCCATGTGTTATAAGTAGGAATTGGAATCATCCCAATACACATGTGTTAGAAGCAGGAATTGAAATCATTCCAATATCCATTCCTGAAAAGTAAACATGTCATAAGTGTAATCCTTTCATCTTCTTCAGTTTAAATATATTAGTGAAAAAAGGGAGAAATCGATAGGTTATGAAGGAATGTCTGAAAAGAGAGAGTAACAAAGCTTAAGAATTTTTCCGAACCGAAAAACAGGTATGGAGGAGAGGGATTTTACAAAGGGTTTTTTCCCTAAGTCCATAGAAGTCATTTTACAAAGGGTAAAATTTGTCCTTAAAATTTTGAAGATAAGGTGAAAGGGAAAATAGGACAGGGGTTGAAAATAATAGCAATTTAATAGTTGTAAGAAAGTTGCCCATCGGTTCAAATTTTGTAATGTCATATTTTATTTAGAATGTCTTAAAGAATTGGAGTTTGACGATATTTTATTCAATTGAAATATAGAAAGAAAGAGGTGGTATACATACTGTACGTAGAAGGAAAACTTAATTATACCAGCTATAACTTCATCATTGAATTACTCTATTGTATTGTATCACATAATTATTATACAAATTTAGTTATATACCCAATCTTAGATATAGTCTATATAAAGAAACGCTATACCATTAAAAAAAAAAAAAAAAAAAAAAAAAACAAAAAAAAAAAAAAAAAAAAAAAAAAAAAAATCAACAAAAAAAAATCAACAGGTCACAACTATATTCTTCATCTATGATCTACAATTTTTAATATTTCACATTCGAGTTCTTATTCTAAAATCGTGCTTCTATTGATTTTTTTTTTCTGGATTGTTCGGAACCTTGAACGAACCTCGTACAGATGCTCTTAGCTATACTCCTCATTTTCGAGCTCTACTTCTCTTTCGCCATGTCGTCGTCGTCGTCATTGTTGTCGTTGTCATTGTCATCGTTGTTGTCGTCGTCTTTGTCGTTTAGTTTGGACTTGAGATTTTTTATCTTTTGCTTCAATTATGTGCTTCCCTTAAGATTTTAGTTGATTTTCGAAATGTATTTTAAGCTTTGATAATCGATTTATCTTTTGTTACTATTTCAGTTATAGATCTTATTTTTGTTTAATAATATATTTCTATGACAGAGTATTAACAATGTACTTCTATGACATAATAGTATTAACAATATGGACTCGGCTTAAGTTGGTCTGGTTTATTCTTTCTTCATCTTTTCTTTGGTGGACATGTATTAGAAATAGCAACATGACAAATATTAATTAATATGACAGTAAACTAGCAATTTATTACCATAGACTAGAACATTACATGGGTAGACATGCATTAGAAATAATATATTACAGGAAACTAGCAATGTTATTACCATATACTGGAACATTATAGGGGTAGATATGCATTATAAATAGGATGTTATAGGAAATTAGCAGTGTTATTACCTAGACTGGAACATTATAGAAGGTAGACATGCATTAGAAATAGGATGTCATAGGAAACTAGCAGTGTTATTACCTTAGGCTGGAACATTATAACCATTAATCAATATGAAAGTAAACTAGCAGTGTTATTACCCTAGACTGGAACATTACAACCATTAATCAACATGACAGTAAACTAGCAATGTTATTACCTCATACTGGCACATTATAGGGGTAGACCTGCATTAGTAATAGGATCTCATATGAAACTAGCAGTGTTATTACTATAGACTAGAACATTACAACTATTAATTTCTTTTTATAAAATTGGGCTGGGCTTGTTTTGGGTGTTATTTAAGTTTTTTTTGTGTTTGGCTTTTTTTAAGTTGATCAATGGCAGTCACGTAATTTATAAGAATTTCATCACCAATTTCTTATATAGTAAATGAGTTTTGGGTGTGTTTCTAAAGCGCATTCCATGTGGAGTTTTTTAAAACATAATTTCAGCCCTTATTTTGGACATATTAGTGAAGTTCCCTATTTATTATCCATACGTCATATTCTTAATTGTGTTAAGTAACGATAAATTTCAAATCACTAACTTCGTTATTAGATTTAAAACCGATTAAAATTACCATTACAAATATCCAACAGTTTTTGTGGGGGGGCTTTTATAATGAGCTAGTGTTTGAAAGAGAAAACTTTGTATAGAGGGAAAATACTAGACTTACCATAATTTTTATACAGAATTGTGTACCACTTCATGACTTTCGATGACGATGAAAATTAAAGTGGGACTAGAAGAGAACTCACCTAAAAGCCACTAATATTAATAAAAGGTATACGCAATATTTTATTTAATTTTGGGTTTTTCGATTACAATGATTTAGTACATACATATTAGAATAGTATAATATTTGTTTTTTTTTCTTGGGTCGTTATCTACACTCCGGTCATCATGCCAGCAACGTAAGGCACACCGCTGGGCAGAATCCATCTGTCACCGAAGATGAACTTGCCAGCGGTGAAATCGGCGGCGTGCTCAGGTGTAAGCTTCTTCATCCCGCGCCATGTAACCCTCTTGCTCAGCTCTGCACCAACTCCCCTGTTTCCGAACTCACCGAACCAGCATGTGTTGTGATTTGAGGCACCGGTCCAATCCATCCACCCTTCGGGAGCGATGACGTCATCGATCTGGGATTGCATGACGATGGCCCTAGCGTAACTTTTCCATGGCCTGCCCAAGTAGGCCTTGTTGAGTTCCTTGTCGTAGCCACTTTCGCCGGAGATGGTGCAGTTTTGGAGGATGAGAGCTGTGGGTGAGCGCCTATCGAGTCTACCGTGGGCTGTCACCATGCAGGCCTGGTTCTCCAATGGCTTCCTGACGATCATCTTGCAGTTTTGGAAGACGGCGGCTGCGTCCCCAAAGATGAAGTCGATGGTTCCACTGATGGTGCAGTCGCGGTAGAATTGCCTGTGGGTTTGGGTGTAGAGGGTGTCTTGGTACCCGTCCATGTTGCAGTTGTAGAAAATGGACAAGTCTGACTGCACACGCAGAGCCACGGCTTGGTGTCCGATGGCTCCGGCGGTGTTCTCGAATCCGATGTCCTTGGCAATGAAGTAGTCTCCAACAACAGCTGCAAAACATAATAATGTACATAATGAGTGACACTAGGCATAGTTCTAAAATCCTAACAATATGACATGCATATGTCAAAACGTTGTACTTACCAACTGTGGCAGTCAGGTAAGTTTGTGTACCCTCGGCGTAGTTCTTCCTACCAGTGATAACGGTCTTGGTAGGGCCATCTCCGATAAGCATGACATTGGTCATGTGCTTATTGAAAAAGACATGCTCGTCGTACACTCCCTCCTTGACATAAATCACGAAGACCTTCACCTCGTTGTTCTTTGGGATGTCCTTCAAGGCTTCGTTAATAGTCTTGTATTTGCCATCTCCCTTCTTGGACACCACCACATCGGGTTTCAGCGTCAGAGGAGTGGCGGTGGCGAGGTCGAGCTTTCGGTGGTCAATCCAAGCAGGGATTATCTTAGCCCTCTGGAACCTGTTCTCATCAGTGGCCGTGGCAGCGGCTTGGAGGAGGCGGCGCCCGGTCTTGATGTTCAGAGCCTTGAACAACGTGGACACTTCGCTTACCATGGCAAGGCCGTTGCTGGTGAGCTCCTGAGATGTCTTCAAGAACTGCCTCATCTTCTCACCAGCGTCACCGGTGGTGTTCTCAAACCCATCCAGGCAAGTTTGCTCGTACGTCATGGCGGCGCTGAGCCAGATCTTGAGATCCTCCACGTAGGCATCGAGCTTGGTGAAGTCAAAGGGACCCAGCTTATCGAACGAGTCACCCAAATCGTCGATGGCATACTCCAAGAGCTCCTTGCAGTTCTGCAAGGCTTGGTTTGCGCTGGGGTCCTTGGCAAGCTCCTTCAAGGTCGTGGAGTTCTTGATGACCTCGCGGAGCTGGTCGATGGCGACCTGGAACCCTGCCTTGACCAGCTCTTTTGGGTCGGTGACGTTGCTGGCCACCTTGGACAGGTTGTCCTCGCAGGTCTTTTTGTAGTCCGTGGGCTGGCAGATCGACTGGATCGCCTTTGTCGACGTGGATGTTTGCTCGCCGCCGGATTTGCCTTTGTGCCGTGACACGGTGACCCCAACAGTTACAGCAACTACCATAGCCACCAGAATCAGAGCGGAGACGCCGATGATGGCGATCTTCTTTTTCTTATTCTGTGCTTCTCCTCCGCTCATTTTGAATAATATATTTAGTAACTAATTTATAGATCTTTTTTAACGAGGGATTCTGGTGGCGAAAAAGAAAATAAGAAGGGTTAAACGAAAGGACTTTTGTTGCGGGAACTTCTTATTTCTTTTTCAGGTGAGTTGCTGCAGAGCTGTTGGGGTCACTTTATTTGGGGCACTGGATAATACTTATTGGTGCCCTTGCTGGTTTCAAAGTGTTGGGTTATGGAGGTATTTATATGGGAGGGGAGCTCATAATGACAGTTATTTCTGTTAGGGATTGTGAGGTGGGGAGATCATTGTTCACGAGTCACGACAAAATTAAGGGTCGTTGTGTTTTTTGTCCAAATTTGGGAAGCATTACAAATGGTTGGTAATGCTTATTATTGGCTCCCTTCAATCGTGGATGACCGGTGCATTCGATTTTTATTTGTTCACTTGGGTTACTTGGAAGTAAAGGCCACCACAACCATTGTGTCAATGTATATAATTACATTTATCTTTTTCCTATAGGGCTGGGAAAATCAACCCGAAAATCAGCCAAACTAATGAAAAAATGAAATTTAAAAATACAAAGAAATTCATAAATGATAAAATATAAAATGATAAAAATTAATGTTCTAGAATTTGTAAAGTTTCTTGTTTGGCTAACGAATTTAAACACGTAATTTAACGTTCATTTGTAAAGTTTGCCACGCGGAATTTATAAAAGCTCAATCTCTACTTTAGGAATTTTAGAAACAAGGACTATTTAGATAGAATTTAAAGTTGGAATTTATGACTTCCAAATTCCATATTTTTTCCCACGCGGAATTTATAAATTTAGTTGTTTTATTATCCAAACATGGTTTATGTCAATTTAGAGCATCTCCAATAGTCTTTTCAAACTAAACTCTTCATATTGTGGTTTATTGACCTACGTGACAATTTGAAGAGTAAAGTTTGCTACTTTACGATTTTGTATCTCCAATAACCTCTTTAATGTAATTAATTCAATGTTTGACTTTTCTTTTTTCCTTTTAATAAAAAACTAATATTTAATTTGATTTAACAATACCATTTCAATATTTAAATAATAATACATCATTTTCACTAGCTTTTGTTGTTCCAAAGCTTAATTAATAAATGTGTTTTGTAGAGTCAATGAGGAGTCCCAGATTTGGTGAATGGGGTTGATAAGGTTGTTGGAGAAGGTTTGCTAATATGGCTCACCTATTTAGTGTCCCAAAACCTTAGAAGATGATGCTTGAGATGCTCTTAGAAATTATGATTTCTATCAAAATACAAAGTTTATTTCCTTCATCCAAACGCATCGTAAACCACAAAGGCATGAATGCTTCTTGTTTTAATAATGCATAATGAATATATTTAATAGGTTTCATCCAGCTAATTTTTTTTTTAAAAAGACGAATATAAAAGTGTTACGGTTAAAAACCTCAGCACATCTCTTCTCTTGAGCAGCATCCACTCCATCTCTCAATTTTTTTCTTTCATCGTTCTAAAAGGGAAGTTTTTTTAGGTTTTTGGAACTCAAATGGGTTTTGATAGGCTGTAAATATGGACGCGGATTAATTGTTCAAATTTTCATCCCAAATGTTGCATGAAAAAACATTCCTAACTAGGATAGTGAGCAGTGGGTGGCTCCATCTCTAACTCCTTTGGGAGCAAGAAAACAAAAAAAAAAAAAAAAAAAAAAAAAAAACAATAACATCAAATTTCAAAGTTACTGCTTTTAGACAAGCACCCATTTAGATTCCTTCTCACTCAGTCAAGTTATGCTCTATCTCCTCGCTGGCCCCAAACCATGCTCAGCAAGGGGCAAAGTAAAGTTTCCCTAGCGTGTGAAGCAGTGGAAAAGCCAGGATTTCATGTTTGTGGGGGCCTCTTACAAATTATAAAAAATAAAAAATTCAAGAATTATATATATACGAAAAATAGTATATATATATATATGTCACATATGTCAAGAATTATATTGCTTATCGATTGCAATTATAATTTTCCTCGACAAAGAGATAGACAAATACATTCTAATCAAGAAAAATTTCAAGAGATAGACAAAGAGTAGCGATTTAGCAAATATCTTTAAAGCTTTTTCCCCCGAGAAGAGAAATTATAGAATGGTACCGTATCTCCATTAGACCCTATAGAAAAAAAAAAAAAAAAAAAAAAAAAAAAAAAAAAAAAAAGAGTTCCTTCATGCATTCATAACATACATGAAAAAATGGTTTTTCAAAACAATCATTTTATCAAGATAATTTTTAGCAGCTTTTATTCCTTACACATCATATAAGAAAACTTGATTTTATGGGATTTTTAGTATGAAGTATATATTGACATAACAAGCCATCATTTTTAGCCTAAATCCAATTTTGCACTAAACCGATTTTACATATTTTGATTTGGTGGGAATTTGATTTTCTAGTATTTTTATTTGAATCCAAATAGGGGGTACTTCCTTATTTACATTGTAAACTTAAGTAAATGAAGTAATATAAAAATAAATGAACACACATGTGGGTACATATCAAAACTTAAAGTATTTGAAATAATATATATATATATATATAAATACATAATTGTATATTACTTTTAAAATATATATATATATATATATATATAAACTTGAATAGGGGCCCGAGACCACACTGGTCCCAGTGTGGCTCCTCCTTTGGTGGGAAGTATATGTGTCGAGTTCTTATTGGCATTGTGAGATTCTATACGTGCAGGGACAGAACATAGCTTTGGCTAACCTGGGCTACTGCCCAAGTGGCTTTTAAAATCCCAGCCCAAAAAATAATTGTAGCCCAACCAGCCATCCAATTGAATATCCTACCCTTCTTAGGAATCCTTTGCTTGCACTGCCTTCACGTGGGGAATAAAACTTATAAAAGGGAGAATAGGAAAACTGCAGCCTATAGCACATAGGATTTATAAAAAAATAAAAAAAATAAAAATAAAAAGAGAAAAAAGAGAATGCACACAGCCGGTGGAAAAAAAGAAAGAAAAGTAGAAGAAATTGTTTAACTGTTTCTTAGAGTTGGTGACAAAGATGTTTCTTAGAGTTGTTGACTTTGTCACCAACTCATATTGCACCCTTGCACACGTAAAGGAACACTCTTGTTGTTGTTGCACTCAGCTTCAAGGCTTAATTCAAGAAGCGAACCAAGCTCCTATATTTCTCAGGTACGGTAAGCTTCTCTCAATTTGTTGTTGTTGAAATTTGAGAATTTTTTTAGGTTTTATTTAGTATCAATTATAGATTTGCAATTGAGACTTATGATTTATTTATCAATTAGGGATTTACAATTAAATTACATCGTATTATCGAGTTTTCTATCTACTTAGTATGTTTATATATAAGGTAAATTTAGCCTAGTCAAGTTTGAAATCCTGGGTCCGTCCCTATATACGTGTTGAGTGTGGAAAGTTGTGAATAAATAAAGAATGTAATAAATGTGTAGGAATATTTTTGAAGAAATTTTGAGGAATTTATAGACATATTTTAGGTTTTTTTTTTAAAAAAAAAGAAAGGAAAGAAAGCCAACAATGACAATTTTGAAAAGAAAAAAAAATTGATACATTTCGAAGGGTTCTGACCTCCCAACGGTCAAAACCAATTGTTTATAATTTTTTTTTATATGAAAATATTTATATACATTTAAAAGGAAAAATAAGAAGAAGAAAAAGGTAACAGCTAGCTGATGTTAGCGCACCTTTAATATAAGCCTTTGGATCTAGAGTTGTAAGATATGTTTCGTGCTCACGCCCACGCGTGATACTTTCTCTTCTTGGGCAGTACATACGTTGGCTCACAAAAAAATTTGGCCTGGGGTATAGCTGGGTTACAATTGTCCTGGTTGGAGGGCTAAATGGCTAAAT